TCTAAGGCAGCGGGTCCTGGGATGGGGGAAGTTTGGATGGGTCTGGGATGGAGTGTTCGGGATGGAGTGTTCTCTGACCTGGCTGCTGGGTAGCTGTAATCACTGAGACATATCTTTGAGTAGGGTTCCTTGCAGCAGGGGAATCGGGATTGGGTGGGAAGACTTCTTGTGGAGCAGTTGGTACAGGGAGCCCGTGGGATCCCCTTTGGGGAACTTTGAGGGCAGGGGCAAGAGAGTTGCCCCTTAGAGTTCAGTGGTTTGCCGTTAACTGTAGTTAATGAGAGACCTGTCAATGGGTTTTGTTTCTAAGATACAAGTAGGGCTTAGAGTCCAGGCCTGGAGCTCCCTTCTTCTGTCAGAGAAGAAATAAGGTCTGTGTTATTACCCACTCCACAAGGAGGGTGTGAACTTTCACGGAGGTCCAGGGAAGGCCCGGGATAGCTGTCCTTAAGCAGGACCATAGGAGCCAAGCTAGACGGTGAAGAAGGGGTCAGAGAAGAGCCAGGTGGACCATACCCCAGAGGGAGGAATGAAGCTTGAGCAAGGACTCTGAAGGAGTCAGTAGCCTGGTCCTGCTGCCCTGATGACTCTCTCCTTCTCTCCTAGTTCATGACTTACAAAGCTTCGGCCTTGACAACGTACGTACCCAGCGGCAGCCATGGAGGGTGGGTGGCATGGGAGGTTGGCCTCTGCTCATTTCTGAGATGAGGTACACAGAGAGATCACTCACTGTTCCACTAGGGAGCTAGACTGAGGATCAAGTGAGTAAGATGGACTTTTGAACTTAAATCTGAGCAGACTAAGGGCAGAGATGGGATTCAGCAGAGGAAGCTTCAGAGCAGTCAGGAGGGAGTGAGATTTCTAGAAAATCCAGGGCAGGTATGGACAGCTAAGGCTGGGGAAGTTTGCAGGGCCAGAATACACAGGACTCTAAGGCCACCCTGAGGAGTCTGATCTTTAAGAACAGAGGGCAACTGTTGGCCCATGTTAACTAAGTGTGCGACATAATCAGATTTACACTTTTCAAAATATCTCATGAGGGGACTAGAGAGATGATTCAGTGGTTAAGAGCATATGCTGCTGTTCCAAAGGACTCTGAATGGTTCCCAGTACCCACATTGCAGCTAACAACCATCCATAACCCCAGTTCCAAGGGATCTGACACCCTTTACAGGCCTCTCTGGGCATTGTACATGTGGGTGCATTTACATACACGCAGGCAAAACACTCATATCTCAGGAGGAAGGAAGGTAGAGTAGTTGGAGATGGGACTACAGAGCCAGCATCACCAAGCCGTCAGTGGCTGGCTGTGTGCCCAGTGAAGCATACCTTAAACTCCAGATCCCCAAGAACCTGTGGACTGTGAGAAGGAATGCCTAAGTGGGGAACAGGAGTTGCCTGTCAAAAGCAGTTCTTTAAAGACATAGCTGTCACATACAGGGCTCCTGCCTTCATCTCTCCCCTTCCCCATCTGCACTGACAGACCCAGGCATCCCTGTCTGCCACTGTAAACAGTTTGCATGGCTTGGGTCCTGTCAGGCCTCAGGCACTGATGTTGCTTGCAGATCAACATGACCCACTACATCAAGCACCTGTCATTTGGGGAGGACTACCCAGGCATTGTGAACCCCCTGGACCACACCAATGTCACTGCACCCCAAGGTACCAGCCTAGAAGGTAGCCCTCTCCAGCACCAAAGCCCTTCCCGGCATCCATGCTCAGTGCTTTCTTCTCCCCACAGCCTCCATGATGTTCCAGTATTTTGTGAAGGTGGTACCCACGGTGTACATGAAAGTGGATGGGGAGGTGAGTCTGGGGAGTGCAGAGGTCAGTCTCCTGCTTGTTATCAAGCACTTGAAGACTGGGAAGTGAAGTGCTGCTCCTAATATGAAAACCTGAGCTCCAAAGGGTAGGTGATCTACCCTCAACAGACACAGGCTGGGCGCTACTGGATTTCAGGTGCTTACTCTACTTCCCAGACTGCCTCCATCCATTCCTTTGGTGCTCACTGTCCTCCATTGTCTGCTTGGGCTGTGGTTTAGCCAGGCAAGCTTCCCTTAGTCTGCTGTTCTTCTGTGGTCTGCAGAGTGGTAGAATGCAGGGGCCCAGGGCAAGGATGTCAGTCCCAGCATTATAGAGTGCTGCCAGGAAGAGCTGCTTCTCCTCCTTGGGCCTCTAGTGAAAGCTGGGCAAACCGTCAAGAGCTGGTGACAGGAGCGGGAAATTGGGGTGTGGGGGTGGTCTGGGTGTTCCCCAAGCCTTGTAATGTTAGCAGTGTGGAGCCTTATTCTCTCCCTTCACATAATCAAGGCATGACAAAGACTGGGCTGGGAAGAGTTGGGAGCCAGATTATAAACCCACTCTGACCCTGGCGCCCTTCCTTCCCCAGGTGCTGAGGACAAATCAGTTCTCTGTGACCAGACACGAGAAGGTTGCCAATGGACTTCTGGGTGACCAGGGGCTTCCTGGAGTCTTCGTGCTCTACGAGCTCTCGCCCATGATGGTGAAATTGACAGAGAAACATAGGTGAGGTAGGGGTAGGAGTGGCCAAGGCCCCAGACCAGCAGGAGCAGGATGCCCACTGAGCTTTCCTACTGCCTCCACCAGGTCCTTCACCCACTTCCTGACAGGTGTGTGTGCCATCATTGGGGGCATGTTTACAGGTAAGAAGTCCCAGGGTCCCTGTTTGGGGAGTAGGGCACAGTGGGGGCATGAAACCTGAGCACCCCCAGTACTACAATGTTGGGGATTGAAGTGAGGGTTCATGCTAAGCAGGTGCCATACTGCTGAGCTACATCCCTGATAGTGCCCCAGGTTCTGATGAGGGAAGAAGGGGCATCTTGAGGTCCAAGGAAAATACCAGCCTGGCCAGTTAGGTGACAAGGCTCAAGGTCAAGCCAAGGGCCTGGCCGAGCCAGTGTTAGCCATCATCTCTCTCCCAGTGGCTGGACTCATTGACTCACTCATCTACCACTCCGCCCGAGCCATCCAGAAGAAAATCGATCTGGGGAAGACAACGTAGTCTTCCTTCCCATGGCTCCTTCTCTTCCTCTTCCTGTGGTTATTCCCCAGCCTTTTTCACTGCCTCCCATACCTCTCATCCCTTCACAAAGTCAGCTCCAACCCGTGGTGATTAACACTGATTGTGATAATACTGACTGGTCTCTGTGTGTTTCTTTGGTCTGAATGAAACCTAGAAACCGCCCCTCATCTTAGTCACATATTGAAGTCATTGTGACTGACAGATCAGGCCTCAGCCCTCAGGGAGCCTCATGTGGCCATCCCCTGGCTAACAGGACTTTATTTACACCAAACTGATGTCCGCTCTGCAGCTTTGTCCCCAGGCCCTCTTCTCTGACCACATAGACCTGTCTAGGGTAAGTATCCTGAAGCTGCCATGGCTATGGAGTGGCTGACACCAGTGCCCCTGCTACAGAGCTGAGTGCAGGCTGGGATTTGTCACCTCTGCAGCTAAAGCAGAGGCTGTTTCCCACACCCCTGGACTCAGTCATGTGGTCCTGCTATGCTCATTGACCCTGTTCTGTGCTAAGCCCCACTGTTCTCTTGACAGAAAATGTACAGGTATTTGTAGACTCCTAATAGACACAGAACTGGAAAGCAAGGTGGGAGGGCAGCTGTGTTGGCACACAGTCAGCAACAGACCATTGCTCAGGACCTAACCAGGGTTTCTCATTAGAGCCCTTTTCTCTGTGAAGAATCATAACTCAGAAGCTGGGACAGCAACCAGCAGTTAGTTCATCAGATCATCTCAGAGATTCTGCCTAAGACCATGGCAGGGAAGCAAAGTATAGTAATGACAGCAAAGTCTCTGGAGGGTGCCTAATGTCTGGGTGTTGCAAACACCTGAGGGCTGTGAGTCACCTAGAAATGGGGACTGGCAGCCTCTTTTTGGTTACTTGGAACCATTTCCCTTGTTACCAGTATCCTGCAGTCCTGGTAACCCCTTCATCTTCTCAGCTTACATAGTTTGGGAGGTAGGTTGGTCTCCATGTTCTGGGAGGGAAACAGTCTGAATCTCCCAGCCAGCCACTACAGAGTAAGCCAGGCCCTCTTGGGAGGAGGACAACTTTGCTTGCTTTCTTTGTGATCATGAGGGAGACATGAGGCTGCTGCAGTGATCTCTAGTTCTAGGAGAGAACCTGGGTGCAAAAAACCTGTCCCCTGGGGGGCAGCAGGGCTGAGCCAGGAGGCAGACAGCCTGTGATATTTAAGCCCTGCAACAAACTACCTGACAGCTATCCAGAACAGCTGGATTTAGTGTCAACTTGACACCTGGGTTGAGGGAGCCTCATCTGGGGAATTGCCTCCATTGGACTGGCTTTGTGGCCATGTCTGAGGGGCATCTTCTTGATTGTTGTGTGATGTGGGAGGGCCCAGCCTACTGTGGGTGGTGCCACCCCTGGGCAGGTGGGCTTGTGTTCCATAAGAAAGCAGGCTGAGCAAGGGTCAGGGGAGCAAGCCAGTAAGCAGCGTTCCTCCATGGCCTGTGCTCCAGCTCCTGCCTCCAGGTTCCTGCTCTGAGTTCCACCGTGGGCTCCCTGATGACTGCGACCTGGGAGATGTAAGCTGAATAAATCCTTTCCTCCCCAAGTTGGTATTGGTCGGAGTATTTTGTCACAGCAATGGAGAAACAAACTAGGACACCAGCCAAACTAACCAATAAATTCCCTTTGAGCTTAAGCCAATTTGGTCGGGGATTTCTTTCACTTGACACCAAAAGCTTTAGCAGGCAGTAAGTTAATGAAACGGAAGTGCTTAGGTGTCATCGAATGGCAGAGCCATGAGCTGAATAGGGGAGAGGGACCCAGCCACTGGCAGGAATAGCAACGGAAGATGGGGTGCTGGAGGGGGTACCACACAGTCAACTCAGGTGGTAGGACACCCTATACATACATTCTACCAAATCAGCTCCTAAATGCCGTGCTAGAACATCTCTGTCCTGGGCCACCTATAGAAACTGACCCAGCAGTTTGGGCCTATGATAACGTTTATTGAACGGGAATACTGAGCTCTTCCAGTTCACATTGGAAAGCAGGACTACAGGGGCAGGGCTCAATGGTTGGCCCCTGGGGTGTGCCCCTGGTCAGCTGGAGTTAGTGTTTGCGGAGAGGACTGAAGATGACCTCACTGATCTGCCCCGGGATGGTGTAGAAGACCAGCAGGAGGAAGACAGTGATGAGCGCCAGCAGCAGCAGCAGCACCAGGATGCGCCAGTATCGGCGCCAGATGAAGAAGACAAAAGTCTTCAGGGGATTCACGAACCAGTTGAAGGATGTTTTGGGGCGGCTGTTGAGGGAAAGTATGGAGTCGTCACAATGACCAGGAAGCCTCTTCGGTCACCCCCACTTCCCCGTGCTCAGGCGGTCCCCAGGGCCACTTACTTGGGCTTCTCCAGAGGCTCCGGCTCCTTGCGCCCCTTCCCCGCAGGCCGTTTCTCTGCCTCCTCTACAGTCAGCAGTTCAAATTCTGCTTCCACCTTCCCCTAGAAGAGATGTCCCAGGAGTCAGTGCACGCAGGTCAGCCCTGAGCCAGGCCTTGGTGTCTGCAGACTGCACGCACCGTGAGGATGTACACGTTGCCGCCACCGTCTGTGAACTCCAGGTCCTCCGGCCGCCCCTTCCTCCTCTTCTTCCTCCGCTTCTTGCTAGCCTGAGTCTCCCGGGCCTCCCGTTCCACATCTTCCACTTCCCTGAGTTTCACTACTGGCCACCAGCCCCGCAAGCGGCGACAGCGAAACAGATTGCACCTCGGTCCGGCCCCGTCGAGGGCTAGTCGAACAGAGCAGTACTCAGGGCTCCGGGCCCCCCTCACCATGTCAGGTAGTTGCAACTCCAAGGATCCTGCCAGAGCAGAGCTCAGGAGGTTAGGCACCGGTTAGGGGTGAAGAGGCAGCAGCCCAGGGTTGGAAATTGGGGCACCAAAAGTGAGAATGCAGTAGTCAGACCACAGCTATGGCCTCCCCACACCACAGCCCAACTACCCCAGCAAATCAGATCCCAACAAGAGAGGGCCAGGATCAGACTGGGAAAGCAAAGACCAAATGCCCCACTGGGGGTCTGGGGTGATTGAGGGTCGGATGAGGGGACTGAGGTTAAGACCTTTGGGTGGAATGGAGATTACCCTGGTCAAATTCAATGAGCACTGTGTTTAGGCCAGAAAACAATGAGGAACCAAGGGACAGGGAGGTTAGAGTGGAGGCAAGGGAAGTGAGGGTAGAAATTAGGAGAGGCTTGAGGCTGGGGAAGGCCAGGCAGTACCAAGGAAGTCGTTGGCAGAGATTCGGTCATAGTCCCAGACCTGCAGGACCAGCACAGCAGGCTGCCGGAACTCAGCCTCCTCCAAGGTGAAGAGTCCTGGTCGTCTCCGGATGCTAACCTCACGCTCAGTGGGCAGGTAGTCAAAGCGGAACACAAAGCGCCAGTTGAAGTTACCCTCCCCAGTCAGGGAGTTGAAGTGGACATCTGTCTCTTGTTTGTCATGCTCCAGCCCCTTGACCCAGCTGGGGTGAGGGAAAGGGGCAATCCAGGACAAGGTGGGCATCATGGCTTGGGCCACACCACTCCTCACCCAGCTCTAGGCACACAGAGGGCCGTGTTTACAATTCCCCCTTAGGAAAGCCTTGTCTGCAGGCCTACCTTTTCACATAGATGTCACTTGACATCTCTCCAGTGATTGGATTCACATCATCCAGAACCACATCTTCTGTATTCCAGATGACAACTCTGAGCTCATAACTGGGGATGCAGTGGGGTATGGTTTGCAGACTTAAAAGGGTGCTGAGGATGTAGCTCAGTGGACAGAGCTAACCTACACACTAAAGGCCCTGGGCTGATATCCCAGCACCTCCTAAGCTGGAGTGGTGGCACAGAGATCTTTGATCCCAGCCACTGCAGAGGTGAGAGCAGGAGGATCAGGAGTTTAAGGTCCTCCCTGGCCTCAGCCAGCTCCTGGCCCAGCTGGGCTACATGAGACCCTATCTCCAAACCATAACAGTAGAAAAGTTAGTTAGATCTTTGCCCTTTGGGCTGGGGATGTAACTCAGTTGGTAGAGTGCTTGCCTAGCATGCTCAAGGCCTTGGGTTCAATTGGGTTCAATTCCTAACATGAAACCAGATGTGATGCTGCATGCCTATAATTGCAGCAATGGGGAAGTAGAGGCAGAAGGATTGGGAGAGTTCAAGGACATCCTCAACTGTATAGCTAATCCAAGGCCAACCCAGGCTACCCATGACCTTGTCTCAAAAGACAATAGGTGTGTGTGGGGGGATGGTGTGACAGTTAAGAGCACTTGTTTTCTTGTAGAGGACCTGGGTCCAGATCGCAGCACCCACATAGTGGCTCTGATTCCCTCTTCTGGCTTCCACAGGCACTGCATACACACCAGGTACACATACATATAGGTGAAATATATACATATAAAATAAGAATAAATACATCGTTTAAAAAAAGATAATAAGAGCCAGGCATGGTGGCACATGCCTATAATCCCAGGGGTTACAGGAAGACCCTGTCTCAAAAACACCAAAAATGCTGGGTGTGGTGGCGCATGCCTTTAATCCCAGCACTTAGGAGGCAGAGGCAGGCGGATCTCTGTGAGTTCAAGGCTGGCCTGGCCTCCATAGTGAATCCAGGCCAGCTGTGGCTACAGGGAGACTCTGTCTCAAAAAGACAAAAAAAAGACCAAAAAATAAATAAATTTTAAAAATTAAGATAAAATACAATTTTTTAAAAGGCAATTAAAGGAGGGGGCTGTGAGAACAGGAAGGACCTGGGCCAGCAATCATTGCCACCCTATAGCAATGGAACAAGGAATGCTCTCCTGACCCAAGCTAAGAAAATGAGGTTCTGCTCCCCATATATTTGGAATCAGAACCCTGAAATGTTGATGTGACAACCATCAGCTGCAGAGTCCGAGCCACTGCAAGACTCGAGATGTGCAGGCAAAAACTCCGGGATATAGAAAAGTGTCTGATGAGCAGAACAGAGACAGCCATAGACAGTGGGGATGAGCAGCCCCTGGGGGGCAAAGGAGCTGTACAGCATTCTGGATCATTCCCTCATGTGGCTATCATGGGGTTGCCTGGATAGCTGCTGCCTCCTTTCATCTACTGATCCTCTCTGATTTTGTTTGTCTTTTTTGAGACAGTGTCTCAAGTAGCCCAGGCTAGCCTTGAACTCTCTATAAAACTGAGGCTTGCCTTGAACTCCTAATCCTCCTGCTTCAGGCTCCTAAATACCAGAATTATAGGCATGCACCATCACACCTGGTTTCCATCTGATCCTTACCCAGGCATACTATGGCTGATCTACATGGTTCTGGTGGCACAGCCCTCTACCTGACTCCAGGCTTGGGAGCATCACCCAGGACTGGCCAATCAGTGTATTACAGTTGCTGAGCACTATGACAGGTTAGGTCAGGGAGCGGCATCTAATCTTAGCCAATGTAATGAGGCTCTAGACTTTTGTTCTAAGAGGAGGTATTCCCCACCCCCGACTCAAGAGACCTGGCTGCTAAGAGATGAGCCCTACACTTAGAAGCTCCCTTACTTTCTGAGAGGAATACCAAGGAAAGCAGAACCCAGAGGTGGAAAGTGAGATGGCTGACAACAGCTAAGCATCTAGATCCAGGCCTGTCAGAAGCTCACAGAACTCTACTCAGACTAGCACAGGCAGGAACAGGGTTACTGAAAGGTATTTGGACTCTTCCAGTTTACAGACAGCCAACTCTCATGGCTTATGGGAAAGAAAGGCTGTTTAATGACTCACTTATCCAAAAGCCTACAGTCAGCTGTCCCCACCTGTTTCAGTGGGGGCTCACATTTTCAGAGAGCCTAGAAAACGTAGACTAAAAATGTGTTCTGCCCTTTCGGAAGAGGGGCTAGAATTCCCTCACCTGATTGGTTGCCGAGGCTTGATGTCAACTGGGGGTGGAGCAGGCACATCACTAGGGAAGATGTCAATCCACATATGAAGGGATCCCTAAGAGCATAAGACTCAGCTGGAGAATCTCAGGGTCCCCCATCTCCCCTACAGTCTTACATTCAGTGACTGCCTTGTCCCCAGTGGGGAGAGGAGTTAGGGTCAAGGGCAGGTGTTATCAGGCAGATCCTGGGGGATAAGGATGAAGGTGGAATCTGAAATGAGGGTCCCAGGATCAAGGCTAAGTTTGGTTTCAAAATGAGGTGCCAGAGTTGGAAGTAGGATATGGGCCGGGTGAGATGGTGTATGCCTTTAATCCCAGCACTCTGGAGGCAGAGGCAGGCAGATCTCTGAGTTTGAGGCCAGCCTGGTCTACATAGTGAGTTCCAGACCAGCCAGGGATACAAAGTGAGACCCTATCTAAAAATTTCAAAAAAAAAAAACCCAAAAGTAGAGGACTGGAGAGATGGCTCAGCAGTTAAGAGCACAGACTGCTCTTGCAGAGGACCGGGTTCGAGTCCCAGCAGCCACAAGGCAGGTAACAACTGTCCTAACTCCAGTTCTAGGGGATCTGACACCCTCTTCTGACCTCTGTGGGCACTGCATGACATGGGTCCACCTACCTACATGCAGGTAATACACTCATACACATAAAATAAAAACAAAATATTTTTTTGAAAAGTAGGATATGGTGTTCTCAAGGCCCAGATCTTAGTAAACTGGAAGGTGAAGGTCATGTTGGAAACTCCAGGTCTGAATCTTGGTAGCCCATAAGACCAGAATTAGTCCAGGATGGAGATCTGAAACTCCCAAGACTGGAGTAGGATGCTGGTGACTGACCCCAGGAGCCAGAGACCGTGGTACTATAGTATGCAGGCAAGGAGTTTGAGGAAAGGGCATTGAGGGGGTTCAGGGTCCAGAGCCAAGTGGAAGTCCTGATGAGTCGGGAGTGCTGATCCCCTCACCTGCAGCAGCCCTGGGCTACGGGGATGGTAGAGGGGCCGTGTTTCTACATGTTCAGGTACCAGCTGGATCCCAAGTCCTGGCATCTCCTGCCAATGTCTCAGCACAAACAATGCTTGATCCTCCTCAGACACCTCACCTGCCACCTTGGGACCCCCACCATCTGCAACAAGAGGGGGAAAGTTTGGGTTTGCCACAGTCCAGCTGTCCTCCCTCCTCCCCACCTTGCCACAGAAGGCCTCAGCTAAGGCTGCCACTGCACTAGCTAAAGCCTGTGGCCTAGGAAGGCAGTCCACTGTGCAAAAAAGCAGAGGATGTGGGAGGATTTGCTGCTGTAACTTCTTACTGTGAGGAGTCAGCCATCAGGAATACTGGAGCAGCAGTAGCCTTGGCTAACTCTCAGAGAACAGACAGCAGCCCTCTGAAGCATGAGCTCAGTTCTATAGTCCCAGTTTATATGGATGCTCTGTGGAGCAGCCCTGTGAGCTGAGAATTTGCCCAGCTGTACTCTGAGAGATCCACTTAAAAATCATGTTCTTCTCAGCATCCAGGAACCTTGCCCTTACTCAGCCAAACTTACATTCTGTCTCTGCTACCATCAGTGAGTTTTTGGGGGGCACACTAGACTGGTATCTGTGGTCTCCTGTATCTTGGCCTACCTCCATCTTTTGCCCTTTAGCTTGTCTAGCAGAGAGGGGCTGGTACCTGGGGGCAGGGTCTCAGATGGTGTCAGAAAGACTTTGCTGCCCACTTTCACAGCCCCGGCTCGGTACTCAGGGGTTGGGAGGCCACAGCGTTGACAGAGCCCAGCCAGGATCTGTGAAGGCCGGAATGCATCCCGCCATGCATTATACCCATCTCTGCAGGAAGAAAGGAAGATGCCTCAGCTAGGGCCAGCATATGGACACAAAGGGGTACAGAGACAAGGATGAAGATTGTTGAAGACATGGATCCATATTAATCCTCACAGATGAAAATCAGAGGTGTATGTCAAGTGCTTCTACGAATGAGTTTCTAGCATTATACCTATTTGGCAGATGAGGAAACTGGAGCTCAAAGAGGTCAAACAATTTAGTAACAAAAACCCTAACACCCAAGCCCAAGTCTTGGCCCTGAGCTACAATGTCTTGCTGGTGAGGGGAAGCATTTTTCCTTCTGTGAGACCCTAGGATTTGGAGACAAAAATGGAGTTGTAAGGGCTGGGGAGTTGGCACAGTGGGTATACTGTTTGTTGTACAAGCATGAGGACCTGAGTTCAAATTCCCAGAACCTGAATAAAAGCCAGATGTGTAGCACAAGTGTCTGTAATCCCCTACGTGGAGATGGGAGGAGGAGACAAGGAGACTCCCTGGAGGGACATGGGCAACTAGCCTGGCATACACAGCAATGATGAGACACCGTCTCAAACAAAATGGAAGGAGAAGACCAACATCCAAGACTGTCCTCTGACCTCCACATGTATGCTGTGGCACTCAAGTGCCCACATTCACATGCCTGAAGACACATACATATTGCACACACACTGAATAAAATAAAAAAAAAACTTAAGGGAATGTGAGCTTGAATGGATTTGGTCAGGGAATAAGAACGGCTCCCAGGGCCCTGTCAGACTCACACATCATACTGGGAGGCCAGCCCACAATTGGCTCTGTGATGGCTATAGAACCTGTTTTCCAGATCAATGTGGGTCTCCCCAATGAGGTCATCAGAACCCACAAGGTCATGATCGAATATGGCCACAGTCAGCTCTGGCTCAGCTGGGAGAGAGATGCTCAGCTCCAGGACCCTGGCCAGGAAAGAATGACTGAGGATATGTCCACACCCTCAAAGGAGATCTTGGCACCGTCAGAGGGGATCTGGGATACCTTCAGAGGGGACCTGGGGTGCCTTCAGAGGGGATCTGTGGTGGGGTGTCCAGTTTCCCACCATCACCAAATCAAACCACCTAGGCAAGCCACCTTGGACCCCAGGACTCCCCTACTCTCAAGCCCAGGCCCCAGCCTCACTCTCCAAAGATGGGGTTGAGCTGCTTAGGGATGTAGCGCTCCTTGGTGTCCTGCTGCTCTTTGCCAGTGTTCACCACCACATAGGGGTCTGCCTTGCCATTGGGGTCCGCGGGAGCCAGGTTGGTAGCCTAGTGGGACAGAGTGGAGTGGAGAGACATGTTGTTGTCACAGAACAAACCCTTGTTGAACCTAATGTTAGAATTGTATGAGGTGCTGGAGACCAAACCCAGGGCTTTGTGCATTCAAGGCGAGCACTATCAACTAGGCTGCATCCCCAGCCCCTGGATCATCTTTTTTTTTTAATGATTTATTTTATTTTATCCATTTATTTATTTATTATTTATAAGTGTTTGAATGTTTTTGCCAGCATGTATGTAAATGTACCAGTGTTGTACAGTGCCCATGGAGGACAGAGAGGGCATCAGATCTCTTGGAACTAGCATTACCAATGGTTGTTAGCTGCCATATGGGTGCTGAAAACCAAACCTGGGTCCTCTGCAAGAGCAGCCAGTGCTCATAATCACTGAGTCATCTCTCCAGCCCCAGGATTTATTTTATTTTTAATTATATGTACATGTTTACATTTGTGTGTGTATATGTATGTGCACATGAGTGCAGGTGCCCTCAGAGGTCAGAGGCTTCACATCCCACTGGAGCTGGAGTTGCAGATGGTTGTGAGATGCCCAATATGGGTGCTGGGAACTAAACAGTCCTCTAGAAGGCAATATGTGCTCTTAACCACTGAGTCATCTCTCCAGACCCTGGATCTACTTTCTTTTTTTTTTTCTTTTTCTTTGCGGCGGGGGTGGGGGGAGCAGGGTTGAGACAGGGTCTCCCTGTAGCCCCAGCTGGCCTGGAACTCTCTATGTAGACCAGGCTGGCCTCAAACTCACAGAAATCCACCTGCCTCTGCCACCCAAGTTCTAGGATTAAAGTCATGTACCACCATGCCCAGCCTACTTTCTTATATGGAGAGTATTATACTATAGATATTCTTTTGCATTTAGTATTTTCTGGAAATTACTCCATATCAGTACACAGAGATCTTCCTAATTCATTTTTTTACATCTACATAATCTTCTATTGCTCACCCGTTCTTGTACACCTGGGCATTTAATAAGATTATGTTTAGTGGACTTTAAGTTTTAGAAATATTATTTGGTTATTTCTTTTTTAATATTTTATTTTTTATTTTATTATTTTTATTTTATGTGTATGAGTGTATTTCCTGCATGTATGTGAGTGCACCCATGTCACACAGTGGCACAGAGGTCAGAAGAGGGTTTCGGATTCCCCTGGAACTGAAGTTAAGGACAGCTTGTAGCCACCATGTGGGTGCTGGGAATTGAACCCGGGTCTTCTGCAAGAGCAGTCAGTGCTCTCAACTGCTGGGTCATCTCTCCAGCCCTATTTGGTTATTTCTAACAACCGCTCAGACACTGTTTTTTTTTTTGGTATTGGAGACTGAACCCAGAGCCTCGTGCATACTAGGCAAATGCTCTACCACTGAGCTAGATCCACACACACACACCCACTTATAAAGTATTTCTAGGGACAAGAGAGATGGCTCAGCAGTAAAGAGCACTGGTTGCTTTTGCAGTGGACCCAGCACCCATATGGCTGCTAACAACCACTTGTAACTCCAGCTCCAGGGGATGCAATGCCCTCTCCTGGGCATTTCATGCACATGATGCATTTACATACATGCAGGCAAAACATTCACACACATAAAATAAAAACAAATAATCTGTATATGTCCATATGAGTGTCATGTGTGTGTGTCTACACATGTGTGCAAGTGCACATGTGAGCAAGCGTGCAAAGAACAGAAGTTGATGTTGGGAGTCTTCTTCAATGACCCCTCTACCTTATATTTCTGAGACATGGTCTCTCACTGAAACTGAAGCTGACTAATTCAGAGAGACTAGCTGACCAGCAAGTCCCAGGGATCCTCTGGGCTGTTAAGCCTCCTCAACACTAGGACTGTAAGCACATACCACCACATCCATCTTTTTACATCATGGGTGCCGGGAATCTGAACTCAGTACTCATCTTTGTACAGCAAGTACTTTAGCTACTGAGCCATCTCCCTAGCTCCTGTTTACTTTTTGAATTGGCATCTCAAGTAGCCCAGGCTGGCTGAAGATGATCTTGAACTCCTGATCCTCTCCTGATCCTGATCCCCCTGCCTTCCTCTCTTGAGTGCCACCACACTTGGCTTATGTACTACTGGGAATAGAACCCAGGGCTTAGTGTATGCTAGGAAAGCACTCTACAAACTAACCTGCAGCTCCAGCTTCAGGCTGGTCTTGAATTTACTGGGCCCAGCTCCTCAGTCACTTTTGTGCATGTGTGTTCATGTGCGTGTGCACAGCACATGAGCATGTCCAGGTATTGCTCCTTAGGAGCTTCTTCTTTTTTTTTTTTTTTTTTTTTTTTTTTTTTTTTTTATTTTATTATTGATACAAGATTTCTCACTGGCCTGAGAGTTGTTAACTTGTTAAGTAGGATAAACTGACTGGCTGGCCAGTGATCCACCTGTCTCCACCTCCCTAGCTAGGATTAAAAGTGTGTGCCACCATAACTGGCTTTTTTTTTTTTGTCTCCCTGTAGCCCCACCTGTACTGGAACTCACTATATAGACCAGGCTGGCCTTGAACTCATGGAGATCCGCCTGCCTCTGCCTCCCAAGTGCTGGGACTACAGGCGTGCACCACCACACCCGGCTTTTTTTTCCTTTTTTACTGTAGCCCCAACTGGACTTGAACTTGCTATGTAGACCAGGCTGGCCTCATCTCACAGAGATCCGCTTGCCTCTGCCTCCCAAGTGCTGGGATTAAAGGTGTGCACCATCATACCCAGCATGGCTTTTTTTTTTTAAAACGTATTTTCTGAGGATTGAACATTACCATCCCAGTCCTCAAGTCAGCCGCAAGTCAGTTTCGAAAGCTTTGCATTCTCTGCTTGTGAAATACTTTAAATCATTGCTTACAATCTGATAATTGGCAATTTGTCCTTTATGTTGTTTGTTTTGTTATTTGTTTCCTGATATTTTCTTATTTCTTTTATAGTTTGGTGTTGTGGTCCTACATTTGATATTTAAATCTGGATTTAGGATCAGTATGTGCACCACATTCATGCAGGCCAGAAAAGGGCAAGAGAATCCTGTTGCTGGGAACCATCTGGGTGCTCTGCAAGAGCAGCGAGTGCTCTTAACCACTGAGCCATCTCTGCAGCCCCTCGATTTGGATTTTGATCCTCTTGCCTCTACCCGGTATGCACTGCTAAACCCAGCTGGATTTTCTTTTTGTTTTGTTTTGAGATAAAGTCTCACTCTGTATTTATGGTTGGCCTGAAATTTACTATATAGACCAGGCTGGCATCAAACTCACAGTAATCCTCCTGCCTTACCTCCTGAGTCCTAAGATTACAGATAAGATTCTAAAATTGGTCTTTTCCTTGGCCAGTGCTGGGGATAGGACCCAAGACCTTAAGCATTCTATCATTCAGCAAAATCTCAGCTCTCAGATTTCAGTTATCTGGACTAAACAGATAATATCAATCAAGTCTTATAATTTTTAAGAAATATTTTATTTTTATGTGTATGAAAATACATGTATGTAAGTACACCCATATCATGCAATGCCTATGGAAGTCAGAAAAGGGTGTTGGATTCCCTGGAACTGGAATTAAGGACAGTTGTTAGCTGCCATATGGGTGCTGGGAATCGAACCCAGGAGCAGCCTGTGCCCTTAACTGCTGAGCCATCTCTCCAGCCCCTTAATCAAGTCTTAAATGAATGTGGTAGCAAAACTAAAAGGAAATTCTCCAGGAAGACATTGTTTTCCCAAGATAGACTCCTTTCCCAATGGGCAGGCTGCCTCTTGCACCTACCTTCCCCTGGGGTCCTGCTTTGAGCAGGGTCTTGGTTCCAGCTCCCACCTCGCACGCACCCAAAGAACACGAAGCCAGGGTCTAGAACACAAACCCTCTCAAGACAGCCTGAGCTTTGAGGTTCATCTTCCTCTCAGAATCCCTGCTGATACCATTTGGAAAAAAGGTTTCTCTTTCTTATAAGCTTTACATTCATTTAAAAGATTTTATATGCCATTAATCCCAGCACTTGGGAGGCAGATGCGGGTGAATCTCTATGAGTTCCAGGCCAGTCCTGTCTGCATAGCAAGCTCCAGGCCAGCCAGGACTACATGGTGAGAACTTGTTTTTTAAAAGAAAGACTTGGGGCTTGAAAGATGGCTTATCAGTTAAGAGCTCTGGTTGTTCAGTTCAGTTCCCAGCACCCACATGGCAGTTAACAACCATCCATAACTCCAGTTACAGAGGATCTGATGCCCTCTTCTGGCCTCCACAGGCATTGCAGAACATGGGTGCACTTACATACATGCAGGCAATACACTCATACACATAATATAAAAATAACAAATGAAATATTAAAAAAGAAGACTTTAATATTTCTCAAGCCACCCAGTATACCATATTGTTAAAACCAGAAGATCAAGATGAGGTCCAGTTCCTAGTAACACACTAGGAGTCTTAGTGACATAGAATATCTCTTCAAATCATGTCTCAGAATCCCTACATTTAAGACAGATCAAAGTATAGCACCTGCTCAGGTAACAGGAACTGGAGGGCAGAGCAACCCACTCGTTCCCTGTTATTCTCCAAGACAACCTTTAGGGAAATTCCAGGGCCCTGCTGGTCTCTGTACGACACCCATAGCAACGAAAGAACCTACAGAGTACTGGATCAAAACCATCCAAAACTTGAAATCCAGAGCGACAATTTCCATTCCACCAGACAGTACATAAATTCTGCCACCAGCAAGCTTGGTGCCCGTGGGAGTGATTCCCTACCACACCTGAGATTTCCCATCTGAAACATCGGCCTCTAATCTCTGAGGCGTTTCCTAAACCTTTATTCTGTACGTTTCCTGCTTGTTGCCTTTGCTGACATGGAGTTGAACCAGGACTATGGACACTCACCTTTACAATGTACACTCTGACCAGAAGCTTGATGGGCCGATTCTGGGGGATCCCCCTGGAGATCTGGGGCTCCGAGAAAGAGACAGCCTCTGACTCGGGGTAAATGAGGAAGGAGCCCTGAGGGAAGGGGAAACAGAAGAAGGCCTGGTAAGAAAGTTTTCCTCCTGAATCTCTGCCTTCTTTGGTCTCCTTTTCTTTCCACAAACATACCTTGAACTCTCCCACAAAGTTTCCAGACCCTTCTTCCTCTCCATCTCCATCCTGGCCCCCTTGGCCTCTGTACAGAGGGAAGACATTCAGCCAGTCTTCAAAGTGGTTAAACTCATCCTCCAGGGAACTGTTGTAGATCTGAAAGGTCAGGGTCTCAGTGACAGCTCAACATCCAGATCCAAGGGATTGCCTTCCCCCCAATACCCAGTCACCTTTAGGGTGGTGATTGCTTTTTTCCGAGGCAAAGAGACTTTGTTATCAGCCTCTCCCTGGTCCTGGGCCTCCCTGTCCACAGAAACGAGATGAGTCCCATCTGAAAATGGCAGAATAGTCTAGTCAGAAATCTGGGGATCAGGTGGGCAGGGTGAACAGATAGAACAAAAGCAAAAGGCAAGATCTCTCACCTGAATCCCCCGCATCATCCATCTCCTCCTCATCAAAGGTAGACTGAAATCAAAAGGCAGGTCAGAGATTCCTTTTCACCTACTTCCCCTCCTGGGTCTATCCCACTACCAGCTGTGTAGCCACTTCTTTTTCAAAGGATGTGTTTATTGTCTAGTCCTGGACTGTCCAAGTTAGTGGCCACTGAGCCCTTGTAACATGATCAGTCTGTCCTGAGATGTGCTATGAGTGTAAAGTGCTCATCAGAATTACTATAAGAATGCAGTGGCTGGAGAGATGGCTCAGTGGTTAAGAGTACTGACTGCTCTTGCAGAGGCCTGGGGTTTGAATCCCAGCACCCACATGGCAGCTAACAACTGTCTGTAACTCCAGTTCCAGGGGATCCAATAGCCTCTTCTGTCTTCCGTGAGCATTGCATGACATGGGTGCACTTACCTACATGCAGGCAATACACACATACACATAAAAATAATAAAATATAAAAAAAAAGAATGCAAAATGTGGCCAGGTATGATTGCACACATCTTTAATCCCAACATTCAGGAGGCAGACGCAGGAAGATCTCTGTGAGTTTGAGGCTAGCCTGGTCTATACATAGAGAGTTCCAGGCTAGTCAGAGCTACATAGTGAGACTCTGTCTAAAAAAAAAAAAAGTAAAATGTCTCATTATTAATTTTTAAAAATATTTTATTTGTTTTTTTTTTAAATTTTGTGTATGAGTATATTGCCTGCACGTATGTGAGTGCACCCATGTCATGCAATGCCATGGAGGTCAGAAGAGGGCTTCAGATTCCCCTGGAACTGGAGTTAAGGACAGTTTGTAGCTGACATGTGGGTGCTGGGAATCAAACCCTGGTCCTCTGCAAGAGCAGTCAGTGCTCTCAACCACCGAGCCATCTCTCCAGCCCCTATTAATTTTTATAATGAATACTGGTTGAAATGATAAATATTATGTTAGTAAAACATATTTTCAAAAAATTTTATATGTATGAGTGTCTTGCCTGCATGTATGTAAGTGCACCCATTATCATGCAAAGCTCATGGAGTCCAGTCAGTGTCAGATGCCCTGGAACTGGAGTTATGAATGGTTGTTAACTGCCATGTGGATGCTGGGAGTCGAACCCAGATCTTATATAAGAACATCCAAGAGCAGCCAGTACTCTTAACTCCTGAGCCATTTCCAACCCCAATAAAACATATTATTATTAAAATTAATTTCATTTATTCCCTTTTACTTTTTTATATTTTGTTATTTTTTATATGTATGTGTGTATTGCCTACATGTATGTTAGTGTACTTATGTTGTGCAATGCCTGTGGAGGTCAGAAGAAGGTGTCAGATCCCCTGGAACTGGAGTTACAGATGGTTGTTAGCTGCCATGTTGGTACTGGGAATCGAAACAGGGTCCTCTACAAGAGCAGCCAGTACTCTTAACCACTGAACCATAGTTTTTAATATAGCTATTAAAAGTTAGACTTAAATTTTTTGTTTGTTTTTTGGCTTAAAACATTTATTTGTGGGGGTTGGAGACATAGCTCAGTAGTTAAGAGAGCACTGACTACTCTTGCAGAAGATCCAGGTTCAAATCCAAGCACCCTCATGGCAGCTAATGCCCCCAGCACCCACAGTCTTCACTGCATGATTCCGTACATATGGTGCTAAAAGCCCGGGAGGAATGCCTGGGTCTCCTATGACCTGGTTCCTCTTCTTAGCAAACCAAACACTCCTGCTTCTGCCAGTCCCCACCACTCACCACATCAGGCCCAAGATTATGAGTCCATCTACTTTCCTCTGTCCCACTCACCCTCTGACAGAGTTCCAGACAGAGTCAAAGAGATGACCTGATGGTCACTGAACAAGATGCTCTTAACCAAATTCCCTCAGGACTCCTACCACTACCTGCCCACCTGACCCTGTACTTCAGACCCATGTTCCAACCTTTTGAGACCACCTCTCTTTTCATGTTCCTGTCCAGCAGGAAGTAGCTCAAGAAAGACCACCGTCACCCCTATCATCAGCAAAAAGCTGGAATGTTGGGTTCCTGGCAAACTCCTAAAATGGCGGCGTAGCTCCAATGTTCTAAAATGGCAGGCCCAAGTTTAGCCTAGGCAAAGCCGCTCTGTTTATCAGGACACCAACCAATCCCGAGCTAAACCACTCAGCCTACATCATGAAAAGTTACCCAAGCCCCTAACTGCCTATGAAGGCTGCCTGACTTCTGCTGGTTGCTAGCTCTCTGAACCCAGGAGGCATTCCAGCAGTTTGACCCACACTCCCCCCAATAATCTGCTGTCTCCCCCCCCAAAATTTATTTGCGTGTTTGTGCACATGCATATAGGTGCCCACAGAGACCAGAAGAGGATGTCAGGGCCCCTGAAGCTGAACTTATAGGTGGTTGTGAGACTCCTGTGTGGGTGCTAGGAATCAAACTCTAGTCCTCTGGAAGAATAGTAACTGCTCTTAACCACGAACACAGACTCTCATTAGGTAGTTCTAGCTGGCCTGGAACTCTCAATATAGACCAGGATGGCCTTGAATTCTTAATATAGACCAGGCTAGCCTTGAACTCATGGAGATCCACCTGCCTCTACCTCCTGAGTGCTGGGAATAAAGGTGAATGCCACCACTCCTGGCAAAAAAAAAATATTTTGAGACAGTTTCATGTTAGTCCAGGCTGGCCTGGACCTTCAAAGCCTTGTGTTACCACCTCCCAAGTGCTGATTGGACAGATGTGTGCCCCATATCCACCTTAAATTACAATTCTGCAGCTCATGTTAAGTTGGATAACAGAGCTCTAGGTAATGGGAGCAATAATCTCTAACTACTGAAGTTGTGGTAAAGATGAGAAAAGATGACTACAATCAAGGACTCTGAAACTCAGAGTGCCTTTTGATGAGATCACTCCCCTGGCCCTTTGCCCCGTCCAGTCCCTGCCCTGGGCCCTCCTCCACCCACCTGCCCATGGAGCTCCTGCAATGAGGCGTAGTACTTGGACCACCAGTCCATCTCTTCTGGGTCTGGAATGTCCGCCTCCAGCTCAGGGCCTTGATGCAAGAGTCCTCCTAGGTTGAGCTTCTTTAGAGGGGCCTGAGGGGGAAAGGACTTCATTGCTCTCTGCCAGCATTACCCCGACCCCTCACAGCCCTTCTGCAGCCTCTGTCCCATTCAATCACCTTCAAGAACCTGCTAGATATTCCTGCTTCAACTGGGAAGGAATCCAAGGACTTTTCTCCTGGATTATGGAAGCAATACCATAGGTGATCAGGCCAGTAGATATCAGACTCCAGGCCCTATTGGAGGGTTCACTGGAGCCATCTTTACCAGGATCCAGAGGGGCTTCTATCTGGTGGCCCCTATGGAGAAGACCCCTAACCTTGAAGCCTCGAGGACACCAGGTCTCTTGTCTCCTCTTCTACTCCCTCCTCCTCAGGGGGAGCTTCATGATTGTGGAGTGTGAATCGTAGCATGTGGGGGACAATATGGGAACCCACAAGAACAGTTCGGCCAAAGGCCCGGCGCTCAATCACCAGGATGCTGAGCGGGGGCTGCAGGTATGGCTGCTCTGGCAAGTCCTGGGGACAGGGAAAGAGGAAGTGACTCCAGAGCCTTGGGGAAGAAGGAAAGGCGGCACAGAGCAGGTGGGAAAACAAGTCACTATAGGTCCAGATCTGTCACACTATGTCATCTCTTGTGACTTTTTCTGACTCTGTGCCAGCTAAAAAAGGGATAGACCCTTTGGCCAGCTTGATCTACATAATGGATTCCCATTTCAAAATAAGAAAAAGAAGACTAACAGATTGGGAGTTTTCTTGTTATTTGTTTGGCTTGGTTGGTTTTATGTGTGTAATTTTTGCAGTTCTTTACATATCCTACGTATTAACCCCTGTCTGAAGTATATAGTCGGCAAATTTTCCCTTATTCTGTAGGCTGACTAAGCAGTTTTCAAAAGAATAAATAAAAATAGCCAACAATTTTTTTTTTTTTTTTAGTCTTTTTGAGACAGGGTCTCCCTGTAGCCCCAGCTGGCCTGGAACTCACTATGTAGACCAGGCTGGCCTTGAACTCACAGAGATCTGCCTGCCTCTGCCTCCCTCCTGAGTGCTGGGATCAAAGGCGTGCACTACCACGCCCAGCGCCAACAAAAGTATTAGAACATCTTTAGCCATTAAGGAAATGCCAATTAAAACTACATGTAGTAGGCCGGGAGTGGTGGCGCCTTTAATCCCAGCACTGGGGAGGCAGAGGCAGGCGGATCTCTGTGAATTCAAGGTCAGCCTGGAGTTCCAGGCTAGCTGGACCTACAGGGAGACTCTGTCTCAAAAAGACAGAAAAAAAAAAAAGAACCCCCCTACATATTGAGATTTCTTCTCATCCCACTTAGAATGGCTATCATTATGAAAACAAGTAATAGGTCAGATAGGTGGTGCAGCAGGTAAAGGTGCTTGCCACCAAATCTGACAACCTAAATTCAATAATTCAATCCCTGGGACCCATATGGTGGAAGGAGAGAACTTTCTCCTGCAGGCTGTCCCTCTGACCTTCACCCATGGTACCATTACATGTGTGCACATGTTCACACATACACAAAATCAATCAAGCAATAAACAAAAATGTTAAAAAGAGGGGCTGGAGAGATAGCGTAGCACTTAAGAACACTGACTGTTCTTGCAGAAGATCTGGGTTCAAATCCCAGAACCCACATGGCAGCTAAGAACTGTCCATAACTCCAGTTCCAGGGAATCTGACAGTCTCTTCTGTCCTCTGAGGGCATTGCACAACACAGGTGCACTTACCTACATGCAGGCAATACACGAATACACATAAAATAAAAATAATAAATAAAATATTTTTTAAAATGTTAAAAAGAACAAATAACATCACATGCTGGGGAAAGAGGAACCCTTATTCATTGCTGGTGGGAGCGAAACCTGGGGCCATGATGGAAGACATTATGGAGGGTTCTCAAAAACTAAAAAGGGGGGGTTGGAGAGACAACTTAGCGGCTAAGAACACTGACTGTTCTTGCAGAAGACCTGGGTTCGAATCACAACACCCACATGGCAGCTAACAACTATCCGTAACTCCAGTTCCAGGGGATCCGACAGTCTCTTCTGTCCTCCGTGGGCACTGCACGACATGGGTGCACTTACCTACATGCAGGCATAACACTCATACACACAAAATAAAATTAATAAATAAAACATTTCTTTTAAAAAGTAAAAAGGCTGGCAAGATTGCTCAGTAGGAAAAGCCATCTTCTGTACAAGGCCGGCAATCTGAGTTTGAGCTGTACACACATACACATAGACAAAAAAAAAATTTAAATAAGCCAGGTGTGTGATGCATGCCTTTAATCCCAACACTCAGGAGGCAGAGGCAGGCGGATCTCTGTGAGTTCAAGGCCAGCCTGGTCTACATAGTGAGTTCCAAGTCAGCTGGGGCTACAGGGAGACCCTTTCTGAAAAAGACCCAAAAAAAAGTAATGCATATATAAATGGAATTTTATTCAGCTGTAAGAAAAATGAAATCATGAAATTTGCAGGGAAATGGATATGGAAATTTAGGTGAGTTAACCCAGATTCAGACAAATAGCTCATGTTCTCTCATATTTGGATCACATATACACATGTATGCATATATGTGTATATATTTGAATAGTATGCATATAAATTCATGGAGGTGTAACTAGAGGCTCTGGGTTCAATTCCTAGCACCCACCCCCTCAAAAATCATCAAAGTATATCATTTTTTTAACACACTGTGTTTTCTTCCTATCCACTATCTCATAGACTAGATAGCCTCTTTGAGATTTATCCTTCAGGACACTCGATTAATCCCTTCATTCAACAAAGTCAAGAGAACACCGCCAGTCCATAGATTAATCCAGAGATCAGTGAACTACGGCCATGGTTCATGTCTGACCTACTGCCTGTTTTTATAAATAAAGCCTTATTAGAACACAATTATATTCCTTTCTATATTGTATATTGCTGCTTTCATCTACAGTGGCAATGTTGAATAGTTGCAGATGAGAGCCTAAATATTTAGTATCTGCCCTTGATGGAAAACTTGCTAATCCTTGGATCAGTCTATGCCCCACCAGCAAGAAATCCATTGCCCATTGCCTTCCTTCACTCCTCTGCCCACAGCCCTTGCCCTTGCCACTCCTCACCACTGTCAGATGCTGGATGAGCTCATTGAAGTTGGGGTTCTTACGATAGCTGGCCAGAGCCTCAGACTCCACACGTCTCCCGGCCACTTCCAGCACAACCTGGGGCTGTTCCACCTCAAACAAGTGTACACGGCCCAGACCTCTTAGACCCCAGAACAACACCTAGGGTCAGGAAGTGGGAGGTTCAGAGGCTTGTAGCTGACAAGAAGCCACCCAGTCAAGGGAAGTGGAGAGGCTTTGAGTACTTTGCTACCTCAACACGGAACTCCCTGAGCACAGGGCGCACATTTGGAGGCAGAGACAGGTGTCCAGAGAGGGACTCCACCAGGGATGCCAAATCCTGAGGCTCCACATCACTGGGCACAGAGGGCTATAGGGGAAAATAAATCAGAAGTCAGGTCAAAACAGGAAAAGCTTGGGCTTGGGGTAGGGACCTGGGGCTGCTGGGGAAGTACAAAGGCAGGAGAGCCAAGCAATGCTAGATTCATGGGAGGGATGTCCCAGAAAGCAGTCATGCACAGGAAGGTAGGGTGGGTGCCTGAGGCATTCAGGATGGAATGATGCCAGGATAAACCGCAGTCTGTGTTCTCTAGGAGTGGAAGACTGGCAAGATGAACCTAGAGTAATTCCACTCGTAATCCTGGAGTTAGGGGGTATCTAATGAAGGGCAAGCTTGCAGCCTAAATTTTCTGGGGGCTGAATTCAGGTCTTCTCCAGGAACCTGGAGAAGTATCCTTAGGACACTCCCTGGAACTGAATGGCCCAATGGATAACAAGATGGGCCTACAGAGCCGACCAGCTAGGTCAGGGTAGTCTAACCTCAAGGTGGCCACTGTAGTCCAGTTCAATGAGTTCAAAGGTGGCAATGAGTTCTCCAGCAGCCTGGAGTCCTTTCCTCAGGGGGAAGAACTGCAACTCGGGACGTTGGTATGGGTCCTCTGTCAACTTTACCCTTGGGGCAGCAAGTGCTCTGCCCAGGAACACAGGGGGGCCCTGTGGGGGACAAGGCAGTGAAGATAAAAGAAGAAGGTGCTCCGGAGCTAAAGGAGACAGTGGGGGAAGAGGAGGCTGGGAAACCAGGCAGAAAACAGGAGAGGGGCATACTCACAAATTTATTATGGTCAAAGACATTGATGACCACTAGAGGAGGCTCCTCCTGCAAGTGCTCCCGTCTCCCATCCACTATCAGCTGGTCAAATACCAAGAGTTCATCCCACAGGGGACTCAGTGTCTGCTTCAGGACCTTAGTGGGCCATGAAGAGAAGGGGCAAAGGCAGATGTCAGAAGGTAGCTCCCCACACATGTGCCAGGTAAGCAGCTCCCTCTAAGGTAATACTTTGAATAGCTGCTTGTTACTAAAAGAGTGGGAACATCGTCAATTGGGGACCAAGCTGCCCTTCTCAGCCCTGGTGTCTGTCACCCTCTGAGCCCATTCCCAAAGTCAACCCCAGGAAACAGCTGCTTTCTGTTTTACATAGTGATGCCTAAGTGAGCAGAGTCCCATTCAATATTCATTCCTGAAAATCCAAGGTGGGAGAAACTTAGGGCCTTGGGGAAAAGTGTAATCCCACTCCACCATGCCTACTGGTCCCCTTTGCCCATGTTCCAGCCTGGTTCTCACCCGTGTGGTCTGGCACTGGGTAGAGATGAGCACACGTGCAAAGGGATCTGAGAGGCCACTGTCATCTGCTCCCAACACACCTCGGGCCTGGTACAGGTGTGCCCGTAGCTGGAAGTAGCTAAAGTCTGGGGTGAGGCAGAGGAAAAGGTTGTGCTTGTTCAATGGGCCACTGGGGTTCCCTGACTCGAGCCCCCTATCTTAGGCAATCAACAAGGTGCACCACATCCTGGCCCTGGACTCACCATCCCGGTATAGGCTGTGGGGCAGCCCAGTCAAGGGTTCAGGCAGCAGGTCTGGGGGCAGCTCAGAGGTGCAGGCCTTGGCTTGCTTGCTGAGCCCCAGCCATAGGAAGAGCTCCAGCTTGGCACAGACCTCCCTAAGGGCTGCCCCAGGTGCCTGTGTGGGAAGAAGTCATCTGGGTGTTCCAGATGTCTCCAACAATCCTGCTGCTCCCAAGGCATGTGCCAAATTTCATTGTTAAATGGTACCCAAGCTCCATAGAGCAAAGAACATCCCCTCTGCTTCCATGCCCGCATCCTACTTCATTCTGCCATCCCACCTAAACCCCACATCTCCTGCTCTACCACCTTTGCTTCCTGTCCACAGTTCTGACACCCACTATATTATGCCTCCCTGATTCATCCCCTCCATCCTCAACACATTAATATTCTCTGTCCTCTGCTCCAAGGGTCACAGCTTCCCATCATTAAGGACCTCTTGTGGTATCTTTTCCAGGGATATCCCATTTGGAAATATTTTGCCTATAAACCAGCTCTGCTTATGAGGGAACTGAGCGATCACTCTCCCTTCTTTATTATCCTGCACACTTGTCAACCTGGCTAGTCAAAGGGTCAGAGTAGATCCAAGGCTGACAAGTTGGCTGAGGAGCAAGCTCCCAAGCTGAGCTGTGCAAAGCTGCAACATCCTTTTGGCTTTTGGGACAGTTTTACAAACAGTTGGGGAGTTCCTGGTTGGGAACCACACCCCAAAACCCCTGTGCTCTGGCCCTGCCCTATGAACCTCACCCCACTGTCCCCAGCACCTCCACACCAGACCCGCCTCACTGTGAGCAGCAAACTCTGGAGTTTGCCACAGTCCCGGCCTCGCTCCTCCTCAACCACAGAGAACAGCACGTCCTGGGCAGGTATCCGGGCATAGGCAACACGGCGCTGGCCACTGAGCATCCAGACCAACACATCAGGGAGGGGTGGCTGTGGCTGCAGGTAGAGAACAGGGTCACCTAGGTACACTTTGAGCTGAAACCACCTGTTCTGCAGCTTGGGCTAGATGGAGAGATCAATTTACCCATCCCAGCCCTGATCTTCCCCTGAACTCCAGATCCTTGTGGCAACATATCTCTTGATATCCCCCCTCCTAGATGCCTCAAGGGCACTTCAGAATAGCCTGGATTCTTCTCACAACATAAAATGCACAATCTTCCCCATTTTAAAAAAACCTATTTTATTTATTATTTTATGTATGTATTGCCTACATATATGTAAGTGCACCCAAGTGCAAAGCTTGCAGAGCTCAGAAGAGGGCATCAGATCCCCTGGAACTGTAGTTGTTAGCTGACATGTGGGTGCTGGGATTTGAACCCAGGTCTTCTGCAAGAATAGCCAGTGTTCTTAACCGCTGAGCCATCTCTCCAGCCCAGCCTTCCCCATTTTTAAGTGTACAGTTCAGTGGTGTTAAACACATTCTTTTGGTTGTGCTGAAAGCCATGTATCGCCAGGACTCTTTTCATTATGAAAACACTAACATCCCACTTTCCCCTCCAGTCCCTGGCATCCAGCTCCTGGTGCCCACCATTCTATGACTCTGATGGCTCTTGGAACCTTGTGCGGCACTTGGTCTTTCATGCCTAACTTACCTCACTTAGCACAATGTCCTCGAGGTTCATCCATGTTGCAACCTGTGCCAAACTGAAGCTCTACTCTTTCCTCCTTTCCAATCTGATCTTTCTCCAGTTTTTCCACCAGATGCCTTCCACTCAAGCCCGCCATATGCCAGAGTGGGAGTTGGCCTTCTCCAATATCCAATCACCAAATCAAGCCAGTGCCCCCCTTTGTTCCCATCCTCACCGGGCTACATGAAGACCCTCCACTCCTGTCCAGACAATGATGGCAGGCTTCCTGCCTTCAGTCTTCCCTCCAGCCCCATCTCTACCAGGAATGGCCAGCTTCTCCCCATGCTCTGGGTTCAATAACAGTATTATTTCTGCAGCCAAGTCTTGCTTGGCCACCTTATCTCAGCAGCTCCTCCCACTCTCTCCTGAAGCCTCTGTAACATTTTTTCTTATTCATTTATAGATGCATAACCTCCCCCTAACTAAACCATGAGACTCCAAAAGATAAGGAACATGGAAAGAGCTAGCTCCCTAGAGCCTAATACATAGCCTGGAACATAGTAGGACTTCAAGTATCATTGAATCACACAACATATCTCCATTGCTAGACTCAAAGCATGGCTCTGACCTCCTCCTTCCCTTGATTCAAAGTCATCATTCCCTTTCCATTTTCAGTAATAGTCCATCTCCAGCAGCATCATTGGGAATCCAGAATTATCAGACCATACTCTAAATGAAGGGAGAACCCAGGTAGATTAGCAGAGTGTTTAAGCCACTTTTACTTCAAAGGTATTTGCCAAACCTGAGCTTGTCGTGACCTAACAGCAAGTAGACTAAAGAGCTCAGACCAAGTTATTGCCCGACCCTGGAGCTAATGTACCAACAAATGATGCTTTGGGGATAAACCTGCCCTACTCATGCCCTACTCCAGGATCTACAGGGACATTTGCCTGGCTCACCAAAGGGGTGGGAGTTCAATTTCTTTTTTCCCTGAAAAGAATAACCACAACTGATTTAAAGAAAGCACTGTTTTGTTTTGGGTTTTTTTTTTTTTTTTTTTTTTTTTGGTCTTTTTGAGACAGGGTCTCCCTGTAGCCCCAGCTGTCCTGGAACTCACTATGTAGACCAGGCTGGCCTTGAACTCACAAAGATCTGCCTGCTTCTGCCTCCCAAGTGCCGGGATTAAAAGCATGTGCCACCACACCCAGCCATATTTCTTAAATTTTATATGGAAGTGTGTTTTGTATGTAAGTGTACCAAAGGCATGCAGTGCCTGCATAGGCCAGAAGAGAGAGTTAGATCCCCTGGAACTGAAGTTACTGGAACTGAAGTTATTAGCCACCATACAAAAAACAAGTGCTATTAACCACTAAGCCATCTCTCCAGCCCCCACAGCTGGCTTTTTACCATGCCAGCATATTACTAGACATCAAAATTTTTTTTGTCTCTTTTGAGACAGGGTCTCCCCACAGCCCCAGCTGTCCTGGAACTCACTATTTAGACTAGGCTGGCCTTGAACTCACAGAGATCCACCTGCCTCTGCCTCCCGAGTGCTGGGATTAAAGGCATGTGCCACCACGCCCCACTTCCCCAAATTATTCTTTAAAGAAGCAATAATGAGCTCAGTGAAAAGCAACAAAGCACAGAAGGAGACAGACATCAGTACAAGACCACTCTACTATCAGGATCCTGTCACACTGGGAAAAGAACTCTGCTCACCATGTATAAACAAAACTAAACAATGTAAGACAGGGTTGGGGATGTAGCTCAGTTGGTAGAGTGTTTGCCTAGCACGCATGGTACCTTCGGTTCCATCTTCAGCATTACATAAACAGACATAGTGGCATATATATGAACTCCTGGATTTCATCTACAGTACCACATAAATTGGGCATGGTGGCACACATTTTTTTTTCCAGCACTTGGGAAATAGAGACAGGAGGACCCAGAATTCAAGGTCACCCTTGGCTATATATTGAGTTTGAGGTCACTCAAGGATATGAGACCCTGAATCCAAAGAAAATGAGCGAGCAAGCAAACAAACCCAAATTCTATGAAAGACAAACCCTCATGGGAGTAAGAAACTGAGAAACAGGAGCTTGGGAGATGGTTCCATTGGTAAGGTGTTTGCTGCACAAGCATGAGGACCTGAACTTGGAAGCTCATGCACACAAAAGCTGGGCACAGCAGTGAGCACCTGTAATGGCAGAACTGGGGAGGTGGAGACCAAAGGCTCCCTGGGGCTTGCAGGCCGGTCAATCTAGCCAATCAATGAACTCCAGGTTCAATGAGAGACCTTGGCCCAAAAAGATAAGGTGGAGAGGGATTGAAGAAGATACATACATTAATATACATGGAAAAAAACTGTACCATAGATGTGGAAAAATAGGATTTGCAAAAATGAAAAGTACAATATGTAAAATGAAAAATTCAGTCTGGGGGCTGGAGAGATGGCTCAGCAGTTAAGAGCACTGACTGCTCTTGCAGAGGACCCAGGTTCGATTCCCAGCACCCACATGGCGGCTATGAACCATCTTTAACTCCAGTTCCAGGGGAATCTGAAGCCCTCTTCTGACCTCCACGGCACTGCACAACATGGGTGCACTCACATACATGCAGGAAATACACTCATATACATAAAATAAAAATAATAATATTTTTAAAAAGAAAGAAAGAAAGAAAGAAGGAAGGAAGGAAGGAAGGAAGGAAAGAAAGAAAGAAAGAAAGAAAGAAAGAAAGAAAGAAAGAAAGAAAGAAAGAAAGAAAGAAAGGTAGATTCAGGCTGAGGAGATGGCTGTTTGGGTAAGAGCCCCTGCCATGCAAATCAGATGACCCGAATTTGATCCTGGAACCCAGGGTGGAAGAAGAGAACTGTTTCTTATAAGTTATCCTCTGACCTCTGTATGAATCATGGCTTGGACAAGACCCACTCACCCTCATATACATGCAACACACACATACACGTGCACGCACATACACACACACACACATGATATAAAATTTAATTAAAATGAAAAATTCATAGAGGTGCTTACACAGACTTTTTTTAAATCTTTCAACTAAAACCAAATGCAGCCTGGCATGGTGTCTGTCATACCAATATTCATGAGACTAAGGTAAGAAGATCACCTCCAGTTCAAAGTTAGTGTGAGCTACATGCTGAGTTCTAGGCCAGCCTAGGCTACAAAGTGAGACCCTAGTTAAAATACAAAAACAAAAATGGCCTGGCCTACTTTAATCCCAGCACTTGTGAGGCAGAGGCAGGCAGATCTCTGAGTTTGAGGCCAGCCAAGATTGTTGGGAGCATCCTAGAAAACACAGCAGATGCTTAGATGGAAACTGTTCCCAAAACACAAACTCCATTCACCCTTCACACATTCTGTTCAGCCTCAGCACTGAACAAAGGAGATCATCCAAACAGATCTTGAATAATCTCTGAATCCCTGCTGAACTCTAGACCTCTCTTCCTCACCCATCACTGCGCTAAATGGAGCACACAGTGCAAAGCCACCATCCAAAGACCTCTGGAATGGTCCAAAGCTTAGGGGAAAGGGTAGGCAGGGTAGGAAAGTGTGGTGGGAGAGACATCACCTCCTGAGCCAGGACATTCAGCTTTGCCAGGAGCTTCTTGGCCAACGCCACCTTCCTTTGCATGTTGCTCTGCCTCAAGCCCCGTAAAAGTCGCAGTCCTTGTTTGGCCATGAGAGTCTGGAAAGCAAGAACAGAGCATGAGTGGAAGGGCCCTGCTTCCCTGCTAGGTTCTCTGCTTCCCTTCTCTAGCCCATACCAGGCTGTGCAGCAGTAGTTTCCCTCGGCATCGATCCAGGGTGTTGGGCCGGGTCATTGTTCTGCGCTCAGCACCACGACAGAACTGCCTGGAAAGAACAAAGACAACAAAGCAAGGAGGCATCAAAGGAGAGATCAGAATCCTCAGCACTTGCCTCAGAGGAGGCTTGTTACCACTACACTCTCTCACGGTGCTGACTTGCTGAGGAAGGCCCTCTGTATTTGAACCATGCCAAATGCTTCAAAGGCTGCCTGGTCTCTGAGCCCCACAACTCACCAATATTTAACTACTACCTTAGCTACTTCAAGTGTGGCCCAAGGGCCAACAGCCTGATTATCCCCTGCATGCTAGTTAAAAATGCACTGCCAGCCCCACCCCAGAGCCAAATGCGCCAGAGCCAATTTCTTTATACCCCAGTAGAGTGCTCTACCCACACAAGCCAGAAGTGAACCCCTGGTTAATCTCTACCAGGCTAAAACATAGCTGGACCATTACACTGCCAAATCAAATGCATGATTTCCAATGACTGCCTCTAACTAACACACATAAAAGTTGGGCTGTTGATGGATCAACAGGTAAGGATACTTGCTGCCAAACCTAATGATGTAAGTTCCCTGGTACCCACAGGGTAAAAGAAAACTGACTCCCGAAAGTTACTCCCTGACCTCCCCATATGCACCCCCCCCAATGAATAAAATGTAATACATAAAAAAATATTTTTAAAACACTTTGAAGTCAGGGCTGGAAAGATGGCTCAGCCATTAAGAGCACTGGCTGCTCTTGCAGAAGACTTCTAGTACTCACATGTCAGCTAACAACAATCTGGAACTCCAGTTCCAGGGGATCTGACAACTTCTTCTGAATTCCTCAGGCTTTACACAAGATGAGTATACTTACATACATGCAGGCATAACACTCATACACATAAAATAAAAATAAATAAATAAAAATCCAAAACACTTTGAAGTCAAATTTTCAGGAGTCATCCTTGGGACTGAAGAAATGGCTCAGCAGTTAAGAGCATCTGCAGTTCTTGTAGAGGACTGGACTGGAGTTCCATTTCCAGCACCCACATCAAGTGACTCACAACCACCTATAACTCCAGCTCCAGGGTATCCAACCCCTCTTCTGGCCTGCATGCATGTGCGTGCACGCACGCACACAAACACACACACATACCACAGATACACACACATACACATAAGTAAAAATAAAATAAATATTAAGAAAAGTTGGGGCTGGAGAGATGGCTCAGTGGTTAAGAGCACTGGCTACTCTTGCAGAAGACCTGGGTTTGAATCCTAGCATCCATATGGCAGCTAACAACAGTCTGTAACTCCAGTTCCAGGGGATCTGATGCCTTCTTCTGACCTCCACAGGTATTGCATGACACGGGTACACTTACATACATGCAGGCAATACAATCATACACATAAAATAAAAATAATAAATAAATATTTTTTAAAAAGTCATTCCTTGGCTGGGCATGGTGGTGCACGCCTTTAATCCTAGCACTTGGGAGGTAGAGGGAGACAGATCTCTGTGACTTTGATGTCAGCCTGGTATACATAGCAAGTTTCAGGCCAGCTGGGGCTACAGGGGAACCCTGTCTCAAAAAGAAAGAAAAAAAAAGAAAAGTTACCCCTCATCCCTCTTTCCTTCTCTCATATTTCACCACAGTCTTTTACATTTACATTCTACCTTTAAAATCCAGAACCAGTATGAGTGTGTACTTCAGCAGTAGAACACATGCTTGGCCCTGGCTCCCCTGGAACTTACTATGTAGAGCAGGCTGGCCTCAAATTCACAGAGATCCACCTGCCTCTGCCTTTCAGTCCCAGGATTAAAGGATGCCCAGCCAAGTAAATTTTTGTTTTGTTTTGTTTTGTTTTTTTGAGACAAGGTCTCCCTGTAGCCCAGCTAGCCTGGTGTTAACATGCTATGTAGACCAGGTTAGTCTCAATCTCACAGAGATCTGCCTGCTTTTGCATCCCAAGTACTGGTTCTACCATGTCTGACAAGTAAAATTATTTTTGAGGCAGGTTATTTTGGGCCAATTTTCACTCCTAGTGATTTTTTAACTTATAAAGGAAATTTTCAGAGGTTTATAAAGTAAATAATTCCAAGGATGTGATGTTTTGTCTTGTTTTGTTTTGAGATAGTCTCACTATGCAGCCCAACCTGATCCTCCTGCCTTAGCCTCCCAGGTACCAGGATTACAGGCACGTGCCACCATACTTAGCTCAAGACTCTATAGATTTTTAGTCAAATATCAGTTTCAGGGTTACAGTTTCGCTTTCATAATGCACTTTATGCCAATATTTTCATTGTATACTACTACTAATAAAACAAACAACAGAGCCAGTAAGTGACTCAACAGATAATGGTGCTTGCTGCCAAGCCTGATGGCCTAAATTTGATCTCCAGAACCCACATGATGGAAGGAGAGACCAATTCCTGAAAGATGTCCTTTGATCTCTATATGTGCACATGTGTGCACACATGTGTATGTGCACACACACACCATACTCATTCAAAAGTAAATGAAAAAAATTTAGATAAATAAAATCAATAAAAATAAATTGAACCAGGGATTGGAGAGATGGCTCAGTGGTTAAGAGCACTGGCTGCTCTTACAGAAGACCTGAGTTCAGTTCCCAGCATTCACATAGCAGCTAACACCCACCTGAAACTCCAGTTCCAGGGGATTGGACACCCTCCTCTGTCCTCTGCTCCTTGGGCACTGCAGGGCACAGGTGCATTTACATACATGCAGGCACAACACTCAAACACATAAAGTAAAAATAAATACTTTTTTTTTTAATAAAAAAAAAAAATCTGAACGGTCCCATACTGCTCAGGGGCAGTTTTTTGGTCTGGTCTACTTTCTTTGTCTTGTTTTTGTTTTGGGTTTTGGTTTTGGTTTGGGGGGGGGTTGAAGGGAGGGGTTGGGGGGGTGGTCTTTTTGAGACAAGATCTCCCTGTGGCCCCAGTTGGCCAGGAACTGCTAACTCACAGAGATTCACCTGCCTCTGCCTCCTGAATGGTGTGATCAAAGGCGTGCACCACCATGCCTGGCTTGTTTTTGTTTTTTTAAATGTTATGTGTAGGAGTGTTTTGCAAGCATGTAAGTGCACCTGTGTATGCAATGCCACGGAGGCCAGAAGAGGGCATCAGATCCCTTGCTACTGGAGTTACAAATGATTGTTGGGCACCATATGGATGCTGGGAACAGAACCCAGGTCCTCTGCAGGAGCAGTCAGTGCTCTTAACCATTGAGCCATCTCTCCAACCGCACTGTCATGCTTTTTTGACACAGGGTCTCTGGTAGGCCAGGATGGCTTCAAACTCACTATGTAATAGAGGATGACTTGAACCTGATTCTCTTGTCTCCAATCCTGAGTACCAAGGTTACAAGTGTCCACCACCACACCTGGTTTAACATTTGCTATTAAACAATGACAGGAGAATTAAGTCCTTGTGACAAGAATTAAATCCAAAATTAAGCTTATGGAAACAGGATGTGGTAGGAGCAACCACCACAAAGGAAAGAATACTGGCTAAAGCCACAAACTATGAAATACACTGTTTGTAAATCTTCCATTCAAATGTCCCAGTCAAACAGTCATTTCAGTAAAGTGAAAACAGAAACAATTTAACAACATTCTATAGAAATTCAAGCAAGGGGTCTTCAAGCAAGGGGTCTTGGGAAATGCCTCAGTTGATAAAGTGCAGCCCCAAAGCATGAAGACCTGAGTTTAGTTTCCCAGCACCCACATAAAAAGCTGGGCATGGCAGTGCACATCTATAACCTGGAGACAAATCCAGTCCAGCCAAAAAGTGAGCTCTAGGTTTAGTGAGAGACCCTGTCTCAAAAAATAATGTGGAGGCTGGGTATGGTGGCTCATACCTTTAATCTCAACACTTGGGAGGCAGAGGCAAGTGGAGCTCTGTGAGTTCAAGGCCAGCCTGGTCTACATAGCAAGTTCCAGGATAGCCAGGGTTACATAATGAGATCATGTCTCAAATAAATAAATAAGAAGTAATTGAAGAAGACACCCCAATATCAACCTCTGGCTTCCACATGTACCTGCATAGACAAGCCCACTCAAACACACATACTTATACCAGGTAGAAGTGTGCGCGCGCGCACATACACACACACATACACACACACACACATACACACACGCTTTTAAAAATCAAGTAAGGGCCAGTCTTGTTTGCACAGGTCTGTAATCCCAGCTCTAGGAGGCAGAGGCAGGAGAATCTCTGTGAATTCAAGGGCAGCCTGGTTTACATAGCAAGTTCCAGGGCAGTCAGGGCTCTCAAAAGAAAATAAAATAGACTTCTTAAAAAAGAGATGTGGACAGAAAAGTGAGCACTCAAGACCTATGACCTCAGTGGTTCTGGTCAGGGGTCTTGGCTGAGTCTCTCCTCTACCCTGCCTCTAAATGCTGGAGCACTGCAGCGCTCCTCAGATCTCTTTTTCTGATTCCTAGAAGATCTTGTCCAGCCTCATCAATGTAATGACAACTCCCAAGTTGCATTTCAACCTAAGAACCATCCCGAGAACTCAATTCATATTGTTGCCTAACTACCAGATATGTCTTCTTTCAAGTCTAATCAACATCTCAAAGCTGACATCTCCAGAAATCACCTTCTAATATCCCCCTCCCTCCCTCCTTCAGACTTTCTCATTTTCCATAGCTTTGTTAACACCACCATCTATACAGCTATGTATGGTTATTACTGTCAACTTGACAGATTCTCAAATCACCAAGGAAACAAGCCTCTGGGTGTGTTTATAAGAGATGTTCTAGATTAGGTTAATGGAAGTGTTAACTGTGGTGGCATCAATCCATGGGCTGGAGTTACATACTGAATAAACATTCATCTCTGCTTCCTGACAGCAGACACAATGTAACCATCTGCCTCTGGCTCCTGTCCCCATTCCTTCCCTATCATGATGAACTGTATCCCCTAGAACTATAAGCCAAAAGAAACCTTTCCTCCTTTTTTAAAAAAATATTTTATTATTTTTATTTTATGTGTATGAGTGTGTTGCCTGCATATATGTGAGTGCACTTGTGTTGCGCGATGCTGTGGAGGTCAGAAGAGGCCTTTGGATTCCCCTGGAACTGGAGTTAAGGATAGTTTATAGCCACCATGTGAGTGCTGGGAGTCAAACCCATGTCCTCTGCAAGAGCAGTCAGTGTTCTTTACTACTGAGCCATCTCTCCAGCTCTGAAACCTTTCCTCCTTAAATTGTTTTTGTCAGGTATTTTGTCATAGCATCAGGAAAAGTAACTGATACTTGAGCCCAACACCTGGAAGGCTTCAATGACTTTTCACACATTTTCCTTTTCACACCTATCCATTCTAAGGTAGTATATTTAACTACAAAATTTCTCTTGAGTCCATTTTATTTTGAGAGTCTTGTGTATCTGAAGCTAGCCTTGAACTCAATTTATAGTTGAAGATGAAGTTGAACTTCTGATTCTCCTGCCTCTACCTCCTGAGTGCTGGGATTACAGGTGTGCACCAACCATGTCTGGTCAAACCCAGGGCTTTGTGCATGCTAGACAAGCACTCTACCAAGTGAGCTATGTTACAATGCTCTCTCTCTCTCTTTCTCTCTCCCTCTGTCTTTTTGAGACAGGGTCTCCCTGTAGCCCCTGCTGGCCTGGAACTCACTATATAGACCAAGCTGACCTTGAACTCACCTGCCTCTGCCTCCCGAGTGCTGAGATTAAAGGTGTGCACCACCACGCCTGGCCTTACAATGCTCTTTAGTAATCCTCCTGTCTCCTCTTTACACCATCCCTCTCCCACTTATCCTTTTTTTAAAAATATTTTTTATTTATTATTTTTATTTTGTGTATGCATGTATTGCCTACACATAGGTAAGTGCACCTGTGTCATGAAATGCCCCCTGAGGTCAGAAGAGGCTGTTGAATCCCCTGGAACTGAAGTTACAAACAGTTGTTAGCTGCCATGTGGTGCTGGGATTTGAACCCGGGTCTTCTGCAAGAACAACCAGTGTTCTTAACTGCTAAGCCATCTCTCCAGCCCCCCACTTATCCTTTTGAAGGTTGTAAGTTAGAATTTCAAGACCTTCAGTGGCTCTCCTACATCACTCAGAGAAGAAACCACAGTCATTACAATGGCATAGCAAGTGCCACAAGTGTTTGCTGAATAAATAGAACTCTCTTTTGAGAAAAGTCTCAGAAAGAGACTTAAATGCCTGGAGCAAGTTATGAAATTCATGGCAGTGAAGGACAAAGATAGAAACAACTAGTATATGTTTATGTGGTTAGAGCAACAACCTGGTAACCAAGTAAAGACCAAGTAAGGATGCAGGAAAGACAACAGATGACAGCAGAGCCAGTTACTTTGTAGGAGAGAGAAGATAAAGTCAACATCACAGCTGTGCTACTGGGGCAGGGACACTTCTCCACTGGACCAGGAGGGAGGGCCAACAAGTGGGTATAGATGCTGGCTAGGTATAGGTTGAATGGAGGAAGGTGAGGTCTCTTGTGAAGCAGGGGAGAAGAGAAACCATAGAAGCCTCTAGGAGCAGGGAAGAAGAGAGCTCACTAGAGGTATAAGGCAGCAGAAATTTCAGAGGATCTGGAAGCAGCCTAACTAACACCAAAAGATCTCTATTAAGCTCCCTTGACACAGACACTTATCTGTAAGTCCTGAGCAAATTCAGCTTGAAGCTGTCCTTGGTCTAGGCAGCCACCACCAATCTCTCTTATCCTGGAACTGGCCAAGGGACAGGCAGCTGAAGGCACTGGCTCTCAGCTCACCTGCTCCCAGCTACCAGCTCCTCCAGAGCCTGCTTGAGCCGTGTACAGGCACCCAGTCTCGACCTGCGTTGCATCTTCTCAACCTCCTGCAGCCCCTGGTCCTGTGAGGGTCCAGGGAGAGGGTCAGAGTATTGAGGGTCCCTGGCCCATAGCCTAACTACTCCTATCCTCTCTCCCTAGGCCCTTCTCTGTCCCCATCAGATTCTAGTTCCAATTCTCTAGCATCCTGCTGTTTCTACTCCGTTAATAACTTTACCTCCTTCACCTGCCCCTTTTCAGGGTCTCACAATTCCAAATCCTTGCCCTGCCACAACTTTGTTCCCCTTTGTTTCTAGTTTGCCCAGAAACTGTACTCTTTATCCACCACTCCCTAGCATTGCATCCACAAGATACTGGCTTCTTCATGCCCTACCATTAGCCTCCACTTTGGAGCTCCCTCAAAAGCTGAAGAATCCCCAGTGCTCTGTGGCCCAGCCTCTCACTGTGGGTGCTGCCTTGTGCTCACCAGCCTCTCAGCTACTTTCCGCACACAGTTACTACTATGTAGGCGCCATGTGTAGTCCTCCCAGCAGCTCCACACATGTAGGCAGGGCTTTCGGTGACGAAGAGGCAAACAGAGGTATGGCCTGGGCCAGACAGAAAGAAATGGGGGGATTTCAGGCATCTTGGGTGCTTGGGACCTCCCAACACCCTCTTGCAAGTCACCTGGGGAGCACTTACCCACTGCCATCCATGGGTTCAGGCCACTGAGCAGGGGTTCCCAGATCTTCTTCCTCCTCCAGCCCTGACCCCCTGTCCTCAGAATCCAAGAGAGGCTGTGCCTCCAACATGTTGCCCTCGGTTCCCTCAACAGCCCTTGACCCTCGGCCCAACTGCTCCTCCCGGCGGCCTGCACAACCTAGTCACCCCATAAGAACATCAAAGGTCAGAGCATCAGGCTGAGGGCCAGATCCTTCTCTTCACAGCACCTCCCTCAGTAGAAGCAAAGCCCACCCTTCCTGAAGGTAAGCACCTTTCCAGAGAGTTAAAGTCTGAAAACAAAAGAGACCATCCTCAAACCTATGTCCTTCAGGCCACACACCAATGGAAATCTCAAATCTGATGGGCTGCTTGGCCAATGAGGGGTCAATCATGGTGGCCTCAAAGAGCACCCCAAAAAGCAGGAAATCTTCACAGGGTGCCAAGGCATTCTACAGAAAAGAGTGAATATGAGGTCAGCTCCTAGCCTTCCAGGAAGCAGCCTGTTCTTCCACCACAATACCCACAGAAAGATATCACAACTAAAGCCCAGGTGGCCTGTGGGTGTCCTCCCTCTCTCCCTGGTGGCAGCCACCCCACCCTACCACTACCCCCAATGGCCCAGGGGATTGGTTCTCTCTGACCATCCCCCTCGACCTGTCTATATACAATGGCACATGTGCACACACACTGAACTCTTCATCCAAGTCCCCAAATTGAGAACAGCCACATGTCTACTGCTAGGGACAAGATTTACACTCCCCAGAGTTGAGGGTGACCACCCCACCTCTGGCAGGGGCAGCAACTCCTCCACCTCCACCTCCATTGCACTAGGAATCTCAGGCCCATCCCCACTGGAGCTGGCATCCATGTGCTGCAGAATCCCTACTGGGGTCTGACTCTGCCTGGCTTTCTTCTTCTTTTTTCCGGTAAGTTGGGACAGTCTGGATCCCTGTGGGGCCTGGGAGGATTTAGGTTCGGCTCTGCCTTCAAACACCTCCATAGACACAGCTACCAGAAGTCGGCCCCGGAACCAAACGCCTTGCCCAAGGCCTTCGTTGAGACTTTGAAGACCATCGCGGAGCCCCCCGCTGGGGAACGAGCCATACAGGGGCACCCAGACCGGACCGAAAGTGGGGTTAAACCCGGCTGTGAGGAACAAGAACAGGGTTTTAGAGGCTAGGGTGGGCAGGCACTGCCCTGTGCTCCACACCCTTGCCTCCTTCAAGTCCAGGAGTTGGAGAAAAGGAGGAGGACCACTGTTCTGGAAGGGAGCAAGTGTTTGACAACCCTAACAGCGTCAGACCCACCTGGGGACATCTCTAAACCAATGCAGGTACTAAAGGCGCTGCTGACTGGTGGATGCAAGCTTTGGTGGGGGGAGCCCTGAAGGAATGGCGGGGTGGGGGTGGTGTTCTAAAGGACTCAGTAAGGGTTTGGATACTCGGATACTGACTGCGGTCAGTTCGCTGAAAGGGCTAGTCCGATCAGGATGCTAGCACCCTCCTGAGGATGCTAATCATGGTAAAAGGCGTGGCCTTCTTGAAGCAGCTTGTTTTGTGGGGTGACCCGGCCTATCAAGCTGACACCAGTCAGGCAGGGAGGCACGGACCCCGGCTGCACGTTCCCGTCAGATCTGCTCACCTGCACGCCCTGGGTTCGAGATCTGCCTCAGGTCCAGCACGTGTGTGGCGACCACGGCGTCCAGGAGGGGCGCGTTGTCCCGCAGCTGCAGACGAAGGCCACGCGTCAGCGGTGGGAAGAGCTCCACGAAGCTCAGCTGCTCATTCCACTCAGGTACTGCCGTCTTGCCACACACTGACGTCTCACCCTGAAGGCCAGAAGGGGGGAGAGGGGTCAGGGCGGAACTGAGACTCTAGCGCAGGACCGGCAAGATGGCTCAGCGGGTAAAGGCGCTTGTGGCCAAGACAGAGGACCTGAGTTCGATCCCTGGGGCCCACATGGTGGAAGGAGAGACCCGACTAGGCAGATTGTCCTCTGACCTCCACACATGCACCTTGCTCTTGCTTACCCACACACATATACAGGAATACACTAACAACTAACTGAATGAATGAATGAATGAATGAATGAATGAAAGATAAATAAATAAATAAGAGTTGGAGTGATGGCTCAGCAGTTAACCAGAGGACCAGAGTTGGGTTCTCAGCGCCCATGTTTCTATCAGGTGGCTCACAACTACCTATGACTCCAGTTCTAGGTGAGCTGACACCCTCTTCTGGCCTCCATGAGCAACTACATTCATGTGCACACAGCCCACGTTCATACACATAATTAAAATATATAGGAATATAGGACCAGCTGGGTGTGGTGGCACTCGCCTGTAATCCCAACACTTGGGAGGCAGAGGCAGGGGAATATCTGTGAGTTCAAAGCCAGCCTGATCTACATATTGAGTTCCAGGCCAGCTGTGGCCCTGTCTCAAAAACACCAAAAAAAAAAAAAAAAAAAAAAAAAAGGAATAAGAGTCAAGATTGTAAAGTTAGGGAAGGCTATGAATGCTAGTGCCACTCACTGAAACAGTAAAGGCAGGCCTAAAGGAAGATGTGCCCATCTTCAGTTCTCAGCACCCACATGGTAGCTTACAACCTTCTGTAACTCCAGTTCTAGGGGATTCTAGGCCCTCTTCTGGCCTCTGCTGGGCACAGCACCCACATGGTGCATTTACATACATGCAGGCAAACATTCATACATTACAAATAAAAATTTTTAGATATTTATTAAATAATTTTTTAAAAACTATTTTATTTTTTAATATTTATTATTTCTATTTTATGTGTATGAGTGTATTACCTGCATGTGTAAGTGCACCCATGTCGTGCAGTGCCCTCGGAAGTCAGAAGAGAGCATGGAATCCCCTGGAACTGTAGTTACAGACAGTTATTAGCTGCCTTGTGGATGCTGGGAATAGAACCCAGGTCCTCTGCAAGAGCAGCCAGTGCTCTTAACCGCTGAGCCATCTCTCCAGTCCCTTAAATAAACAATTTTTTAAAGACTGGAGCTGCGGCATAGGGGGAGCGACTTACCTGTTGCCCCAGAAAGCTCACGTGCACATAAGGGTCCAGGAGGACATGCTGGTCGTGCAGGGCACGGGCCAGGCTGCCCAGCAGCCCGGGGCGCAGTGATGGAAGCCCCTCTGCACGGTACACGCGCACGCGCAGCCGCGCCCACGGCCTCTCAGCCGGCACCCCACGGGGCAGGAGCAGGTTCCTAGGAAGAGAGGAGAAGTGGAGCCTCCCGCCCTCTGCTGCTCTGCGCCCTGAGGCCACGCCTCGTGCAATTCTCTACTCCCACCTCACCCAGCTCACTTCTCGATGTCCGAAGTGGTTCCTGGGCCTGGCGGTGGCAGTGGAAGGGGAAGGTCCCCGCGCACCCTCACGGACAAGGTGACCTTGACGAAGCCCTTGGTCCCAGCGCGGGTGTCCCGAGGATCATGCAGAGGAGCCCATTTTTGGTGGAAGTGGCCATCTGAGGTTGGAGGGGACAGGCCAAGGGGTCAGGGGACACCTAAGGGATGCACCGAGTGATTATAGAGCGTTGGACAATGACTGGGGTTCCAGTCCATCGCAGAGGAAGAGCAGGAGTGCAAGAAAGGTGAGCCTTCAGGAGAGACAGTGGTCTCAAAGTTGGTGCACAGGGGTCGGCGCAGGTAGCTAGTTTCCTGGGTCTTTGTTCATGCCAATGCGTTTCAATGAAACGTTTCAATACCTGGCTGGTCCAGAGCAATGCCCAGGTCCATCCTGAAGGTGCCTATCCTGGTGGCCATAAATGGGAGGGTCTGCGAATGAAAAGCCTGGGAGAGAGCAGTATTAGTCCTGGAGTTTTGGCACATACCTCCCACTTTGGGCAGGGGGAGGGGGGCAGAATCTCACTCTGTACCCCAGACTGGGCTTCAAACTCGGGGCCATCTTCCAGCCTCAGCCTCCCAAATGTTGGATTACAGGCACATACCACCACACCCAGTTGGCTATCTCCCCTTTCCTGACCTCTTTCCAATTCTACTCACCGTGATCTCCAACAGCAAGTCTTGAAGGGCAAGCCGGCTCTCATGAAATTCGAACAAAAAGTACTGGGTTGAAGTGGAGTGAGACAGGTGAGACAGGTGAGGTTAGACCTGAGGCACTTTGTCAACTTTCCCCACATCTTGTTTTCGAAGAGAACAGAGTCCTTTTGGCGTTATGGTGCCCTGTTCTTCCCCCATGGCCCCTGCACCCAAACCCTGCCCTCTCCAGGGACAGGTCCTATCTGAGTCCCTTCTATTCTCTCAGACCTGCCCTCTTCCTTGGTCTAGCTCACCTCATTGTAGAAAGGACAGTTGGTTCCACGCTGGGTGGCAGTCACTCGGTACTGATCCCCAACACGCACGGCCACATAGGGGTTAATGTTGACTCCCACCAGTTTCTGGGCCTCAAGCACTGTGATCCCCACCTAAGGGATGTAGAAAAGGGAGGAAAGGAAGCCAGACTTGCCTGAGTTTGGGGAGGAGCAGCAAAAGAGGATTGGAATAAGACAGAAGAGCAGTACCTGGAAGTCCTGGGTTCTGGACACCTGGAAGGGATCCTTGCGGGCTGGGCCTGGGACACGGCTGCATAGAGGCTTAGGGTCAGCTCCACTCCTCCCACCCATATAGTTGTTTGGTGATGGGATGAAGTCCCTGCCTTCTGAACTTCTGGACCCTGAGTCCTTTAGGATTACTCTTTTGCCTCCATCTCAAGCCTATGTCAAGAGTTTGACTCATTCCCACAGCCCTGGAGCCATTTGTTTGCTCAACAAAAATTTCACACCTGCTAAGTGCCAACACTCTTTTTTTTTTCCTTTGGTCTTTTTGAGACAGGGTCTCTCTATAGCCCCAGCTGTCCTGGAACTCACTATGTATACCAGGCTGACCTTGAACTCACAGAGATCTCTGTGATACCTCTGCCTCTGGGATTAAAGGCATGTGCCACCACACCCAGCTAGTACCAACACTCTTATCAAAGCTGTACCACTCACATGAACAACAACCAAAACTTGCCCTAATCAAATTTCAATACAAACCAGTGTGTGAGCCAGTATAACTGACTCTGAATATAAGTGAATGACCCTTGACCCCAGGATATCCGCCCTCCACCCCTGGTGTCTGTGAGTGTGTATGGGTATGGGCTCATGTGTATGAGTTTGAAACTGACTCAGTGGAAGGGTATAGGGGCAGGTACGTGGTGGTACAAGTTACCTCTTGAGGGGGCTGAACACAACCCCAGAAAGCTCCACATCAGGCTCATCCTCCAGGTCCAGGTCCAGCTCCAGGCCCAGCTCATTCTCTTCATCATCCTGTGTTCCTAGACTTCGAGCTAGCCTGTGCCCCAGAGACACTGCCCGCCGCTCTAGCCGGGCCTCTTCAGGCCTGACAGGAAAGGTCCTCAAAGGTCATGCCTAGGACCTGTCACGCTTCTCTGGGCATTCCTTGTTACTCACCTTGGGACGGGACTCTGATCCTTAGATTGATCCCACTCTTCCCAGGACTCACTCCTAACCCTGAGATCACTCTAAATCCAGAACTGAATCTTGATTCTAGGTTTGACCTCTGTCCTCATAACTGATTCAACCCTAATCCCAGACCCTAAAACTAACTCCAGTGACCCTGAATCACCCCCACATACTTACTTCAGTTCCTGGAAGCCCACATTGGGGATGATCAACTCCAAGCTAAGAAGAGGAGACATGGAGAGAGCCAGACCTGACTACAGAGCTAGAGTCTGCTTAGCATAGTTTCAAGGGTCACAGCATCCAGCAGATCCAGAGTGGAAATGGGGGGCTACTTCTTTCTTTTCAGGGTGAATCTGGGCTGGGACCACCAGATCTTGCTCAGGTTACTAGAGAATTACCTGTCTCGAATGGGTGTGCCAAAGTCCTCCTCTGCCCAGGTTCCTGCAGCTCCCTCAGGGGGCTGATACTTTAGGTCAAGCTCCACCTGGATCTGAAACCGGATATGGTATCCATAGGTCCCCTCAAATATGAGGCTAAGAGTCCCAAGGACAACACATCCTTAAACAGGATCCTCTTGGCTACATCTGTAGTGACTTGTTCTTCCTGAAGAATAATGTTAATATTCACAACCTTTTAAGAGCTTAGGGCTGGGTGCTAGTGAGATGGCTCAGTGGGTGAAGGTGCTTGCTGCCAAGCCTGGCAACCTGAGTTCAATGCCCGGAATCCATGTGGTGGAGGAGAACTAGTGTCCAGAAGTTGTCCTCTGACTTCTACAAGCACGCTCACACACACACACACACACACACACACACACACACACACACACGCATGCACGCATGCACGCACGCACGCATGCACACACAAATACAGAGAAGAATAAGAAGAGGAGGAGGAGGAGGAGGTGGAGGAGGAGGAGAAGGAGGAAGAGGAACTCTCTTAGGGCTGGGGATACAGCTCATTTGGTAGTGTGCTTGCCTAGCATGCAGGAAAGCTTGGGTTTCAGTCCACCACTGTTGTAAACAAACAAACCAACCCGTCCCTGGAAAATAAAAAATAAAGGAAACAAAACCCAACCTTAATGTGCAAGTTGCCTCTTAAGGGGCCCAAAAAATGTCCTTTGCTTTTCTTGGCCTTAACAGTTCTGCATGGCCTGGTCCCTGACATCCTTTCCAGCTCCATCTCATTCTAGGTTTCTGTCTTGCTTTGCACCCCAGGTTCCTTTGCCTGAATTATTTCCCTCCCCACTTAGTTCTAAGCTCAAGCATTACTTCCTTAGAACCTTTCCTGACCCCCCAAATAGGCCACAAACCTATTCTACACCCAGCTTTTGTAACACACATCAGTTGCAATTGATTTTATTTTATTTTATTTATTTTATTTTGTGTATGCGTGTATTGCCTGCAAGGTAAGTGCACCCATGTCATGCAATGCCCAAGGAGGACAGAAGAGACTGTTAGATCCCCTGGAACTGGAGTTACTGACAGTTGTTAGGTGCCATGTGGGTGCTGGGGTTCGAACCTGGGTCTTCTGCAAGAACAATCAGTGTTCTTAACCACTGTGCTATCTCTCCAGCCCTGCAATTGTTTTTTAAAATATTTTATTTATTATTTTTATTTAATGTATATGAGTGTATTGCTTGATTGTGGGTAGGTGCACCTGTGTCATGCAATGCCCAAGGAGGTCAGAAGAGGGCATCGGATCCCCTGGAACTGGAGTTAAGGACAGTTAGCTACAATGTGGGTGCTGAAAATTGAACTCCAGTCCTCTACAAGAGCAGCCAGTGCTCTTAACCACTGAGCCATCTCTCCAGCCTTGCAATTTTTGTGTGAATATTTGCTTGATATTTGCCCCCCCTCATTCAGCTAGAGAGCACCAAGAAAGCAAATCCTTATTTGGTTTTGCTTACCACTGAATCCCCTTTGTTTAGTATCATACTTGGTTTATAATAAAAGAAAGAACTTAACCAGTGACTGAATGAGAAAAAAAAAATCAACACTAGGTCTGACTCGACATCACGCAAATGAGGAAATAGCTTAGAGATGCTAAATAACTCTTCCAAGTTCTCAGATGGGAAGAAGTACATCAAAGAATTGAGGCCAGGTACACCTCTCCTAGGATATATGACCTGTGAGATATCAGGAAAATCCTGGCAAGTTCATCTTTTCTGCCACAAGAAGAGAACCTGCCCAAGATCCAGGGAACAACAGGTGCTCACCACACCCCTGGAACTCAGAGCTGAGCCTCTTTCTGGTCCATGCACAGGGGCTGCAGTGAAGGGAGACTAGGCTGTGGGGGGCACTTGCTGCTACTCCTATCTGGCTCAAATTTTCCCTTAAGTTTTCCCCTAAATTTTACCCTCTATCTAGGGAGTCCCAGGCTTGAGGGTGAAAGGCTGGCGGCTTACCGAGGACACTCGCAGTTTCTCATCCACTAGAGCCTCCTGGAGCACCAAGTGCCCAGCATTCTGTACCTGCTGCAGGGATATCACCAGGGTCCCCAGAGGCCTAGAAGAAGGGCATGAAGAAGGGTGACCCAGAAAGATGGCACCAAACCACTCCCAAGCCTCCTCCAAGACTACTCACCTGGGGCTGAACACACGGCTACAGTTGACCACCTGCACAGACAGACTCTCCCCAGCCAGTGGAGACCCATAGTGGGGCCACTGAAACAACTAGGGACAGAAGGAAGCTCATGACACCCAATGTTTGGCTGACCCTGACACCAATCTCCAGAGCCTATTTCCAAGCCTGAAATAGAAATCAACCCTCCAAATTTGGGGCTATTTCTAGGACTATCTCCCATACCTATTATAAACCCCTTCAACATGGAGTTGACTCCAAACAGTACTGATCTGGGGCTAACTACCAATCAAAACCTAATCCCTCAAGTCTTGAGACTACATGTCCCCAAGACCAGGAATAAACACTTTTGTCCCAGGATGGACCTAGAAGAAAACAGACTGGCTTCTCTCCAGCCAGGAGACCAATGGTACTGACCTCACCAACATCTGCTTCTCTGCCACAGTGAATTTTTCTTGTCTTCTGGGTAAAGCCTGCTCAAGACTGAAACTAGTCATTTATCAGCCCCTATGCAAAAAGTCACTCCCCCCGCCACCCTTGGTCCAGTGTCTAGTACCCCCTGATTCACACTTAGAAAAGCAGAAGATAAAGCTAGAAGGAGGCAAAGGTTTGAAGCTATACAGCTGAAGAAAAGGCTATAAGCTGGCCAGGATTTAAGCTGGAGGTCTAGGGACTGAAGAATCCAGAGCTCCCCAGTTCCAAAGACTCTTAGAGCATCCATGCAAGCCTCACCACGAAAGCAGAGCGTCACTTGTCGGTCATGGGTCCCTGGTAGCCCTGTTAGGCGCCTCACACACACAGTCAGAGCCATGGTCTCAGAGCCACTGGTTCTCAGTCTGCCTGCTTGCCCTCTGCCCACCTGAGTTGCCCATGACTCACTGGACTCACCCAGCAGGTTCAGCAATCCCTTCCCTTTAGTCAAACACACAGGGGGTAAGGATTGGAGGTCATGACTGGGGAAGGAAGGAGGACTGAGAGCTGGGGGAAGGTCTCTATTGTCAGCAAAGTCCGATCTACCTATACCAGCTGCAAACTGGTACCAGTATTTATCCTGTTCTTATAGGGTGGGAATTGGGACAGGGTAAGGATGGAGAAGACAGAACCTTAGTCTGGTCTCTGCTAGCCTATGAGGTCTCAAGAGCATAAACCTCATGATGTTTCTTTTCTTTTTTCTTTCTCTTTTTCTTCCTTCCTTCCTTCCTTCCTTCCTTCCTTCCTTCCTTCCTTCCTTCCTTCCTTTCTTTCCTTTTTTTTCTTTTTGAGGCAAGGTCTCCCTGTAGTTAGCCTGGAACTTACTATGTATACCAGGCTGGACTTGAACTCACAGAGATCCGCCTGCTTCTGCCTCTGCCTCCCAAGAGCTGAGACTAAAGGCATGCACCACCACACTCGGTACTCATGATATTTCTTATTCTGTGTTCTCAATACTCAGCTTGAGATGTAGTACATAGTAGACCCTCAAAACACTGACTGGGGCCCAGCATGGCAGCACAAACCTGTAATTCCAATACATGGGAGGCTGAAGCAAAAGGATCTGTAATTCAAGGCTAGCCTGAGCTACGTAGTGAGAGTCCTTATGTCAAAACAAAACAAAAATAACAACAAAAACACTGTCTGGATAAATACATGGGGTAAAGATGAACCCCCAGGGGCTGGAGAGATGGCTCAGCAGTTAAGAGCACTGACTGCTCTTGCAGAGGACCTGGGTTGGATTCCCAGCATCCACATGGCAGCTACGAACCATCCTTAGCTCCAGTTCCAGGGGAATCTGAAGCCCTCTTCTGACCTCTACAGCATTGCATGACATGGGTGCACTCACATACATGCAGGCAATACACTCATCATAAATATAAATAATAAATAAAATATTTTTTTCAATGACCCCCCAACCCCTATGTTAGTGCTTCAAAGAGTCAACACATTTATTGAATTAATGGAGATTTGAATGCATCCTTAGCCTACATGAAGTAGTTGTCCTTTGTGCTTCATAAGCAGAAGTCATAGGTTCTTTAACTTGGGGTTAAGGACCCCATGTTGACCCATGCATTAATCTCAGCACTTGGGAGGCAGAGGCATGTGGATCTCTGTGAGACTGAGGTCAGCCAGGGCTATATAGTGAGTTTCAGGCCAGCTAGAGTTATATAGTGAGACTCTGTCTCAAAAAAAGGAGGGGCTGGAGAGATGGCCTAGAGGTTAAGAGCACTGGCTGCTCTTGCAGAGGACCCTGGTTCAGTTCCCAGCACCCACATGGCTGCTAACAACTGTCCATAACTCCAGTTCCAGGGAATTTGACACCCTCTTCTGGTTCCCATGGGCATTGTATAACACAGGTACACTTACATATATGTAGGCAAAACACTCATAAAATAAAACTAATTTTTAAAAAGACAACTTCTATTTGGGGTGGGGTTTTTGTTCTTCTGTTTTGCTTTGTGTGTTTTGGGGTTTTGGTCTTTTGAAACAAGGTCTGGCCTCAACTATGTAACTGATTACTGTAGTAGTTACTTTCTGTTGCTGTGATAAAATACCATGACCAAGCAACTTTAAAAGACATGGCAACAGGTGCCTATAGTAGGAAGCTAAGAAACCATATTTCCATCCACACACAAAAAGCAGAGAGCAAACATGAAATGGGGTGAGGTAATCAAAGCCCACCCCCAGTGACACATTTCCTCCAGCAAGACTCCATCTCCTAAAGGGTTCATAACTTCCCCAGACAGCACCATCAACCAGGGTCCAAGTGTTCAAGAATATGTGAGCCTATGGGGGACATTTCTCATGCAAACCACTACACTGAGAATGACCTTGAACTTCTGATCCTCCTGTTTCCACCTCCCAAGTGCTGAGATTACAGGTGTTGACCACCATGCTTGATTTGTGGGTATTGGGCATCAGACCTAGGCTTCCTGCATGCTATGCAAGTGTTATAGAAACTGAGCTTATCTTCAGCCCCCAGTGAGATGGAAAAGATGAAGCACAAGAACCATTTTAGTTCAAAGCTACAATCAGTTCTTCTGATGGTCTAATCTTACCTGTTGCTGCTGCCCTATATTCCTTGTCTTCAAGCCAAACCAAACAAATCACATGTTCCAGTGCACACCCTTCATTCCTTTCCACTGAGTGAATGCTTGTCTCTGGTTCCCACTTCCGTCTTCAAATTCCATTTTAAAATTTTTTTAAATTTTCATTTTGGTGCCGGGTGTGGTGGCATACGCCTTTAATCCCAGCACTCAGGAGGCAGAGGCAGGTGGATCTTTGTGAGTTAGAGGCCAGCCTGGTCTACATAGTGAGTTCCAGGACAGGTGGGGCTACAAGGAGACCGTCTCAAAAAGACAAAAAATTTTCATTTTATGTGTATGAGTGTTTGCCTGCATGTATGTAAGTGCATTCGTGCTTGCAATGTCTGTGGAGGCCAGAAGAGGGTGTTGGATCCCTTGGAACTGGAGTTAAGAGCAACCAGTCAGTGATCTTAGCCAGAGTCCTATGACC